GAAGCAAAGAGATGTAGACCTGAACAGCCACCCCGTCCTTCACAGTAATAAAACAGATATGACACTACTTAACTGTTATCGGGCAATTTACTTTTAACAATGTCAGCAAACTTACTAGCGAAACAGTGATATTTATCAGATCGTCCATCAAAATACATAACACGATTCTGGGTAAACCAAAACTGTTGAAAAAGTTATACAACATATCCCTATCTTCGTCGATCCGTTTACATTTTAGAAGTGGTTTGTCAAACAAACGTTACAACAAGCAATGAACCCCAAATACCTCCCCACCGTAGCATTTATATCATCACTATCAATAGGCAGCCGGCTATCTTCCTCTCAAACCTTGGACTCTATAATTAATCTCAACCCCAAATTGATTTTCTGGTGTCTTTGGCCCCTTTTCTAGTTCGAGCCTCTTTTCTAATTGTTTTTTTCCAGGGAGTACCTTACCTAACTAGAGCCGAGCCGAAATGAACCAGTCAGAACCCATATTGAGAACACTAATATTATTATCATAACCAATAACATCGTATGACTCACAAACATCTCTATGAAGCTAACTTTTAAGTCTTGCATTCCCCTTACGCTTTTTGCTCCTTGTTTCCACAGTATATCTTTGCTCCATAAAAACGGTTACGTCCAGGTAAATTAAAACTAATCGAAGAGCAATCCAATGATATCTATAAATAGTCTTCAGTAGTAAGGAGAGGAGGTCAGTGCACCTATATTGATCCTATCACCTTTTGGTAGTGTAGAGATCAAATCTCGCTTTGAATGTAACAACAGGTGCTGGCATTAGATGTTCTAGTATGGAAGTCTAGTATTTCGCTACTCGGTGAAAGGAACGGGACTCTAGACGTTAGCGACTTGATTAAATTACTTAGAATTTTCCCTCGGATGATTAGCCCTAGATGAAAAGAAATGACAATACATTGGTACTAAAATCATCGTCTGATGTACCATAAGTCGGTATCAGATAACCCTGTATTCTGCAAGAAGATTACAGAATTAGGTTTATGTGTCTCGATTTGTTTTCATAAGGCAGGTCAGAGAGTTCTTTTACCCTTCTCTTTCTTCGCTGATGAACACGTTCTAGCATATCCGCCTCATAATTGAGACAGGAACTCAATCTCATATTTCAAATATAGCCTGATAAAAGTTGAATGTGATTTTCTAAACATTTTTTCGTTGAAGTAATGAAGCAACATACAAATGGCCCGTAAGACCCAGAAGCCTTTGGCAGTGGCAACCCTGCAGTTACTTGTAGTTTTTAGGTCACTGCTGATCATGACTTTTGGGTCTTTATGGCGTATCACTTTAGGATACACAACTCCACATATTGTGTTGTGATGTGAATGATCACATTCATTTACTAACATTATCAAACACTTTCTGGAACTACCTTCTGATGACTACCTACATATCCATTCCACCGATGAACTTAGGTCATCCTGTATCATAATTCTGTCTGACACTGCTTATGGGTCTGCAAATCTTTATGTCGTCTTCAAAGAGTAGAACATATTACCTTGCTACAGTTGGTAATTTATTTACATAACATAAAAAAGAAGGCGACCGAGGACCGTACTTTGAGGAACCACACTTTTCATAAGTTCCAACGTTGGTAGAGCCCCACTTGCCAGTACCCGCTGTCTCTTGTCATTAAGAAAGTTACTCATGTGGTTTATAATTTCATAATAAAATCCAAAACGTTCCAATTTTAACTTAAGAACCAGGCGAGATACCTTGTCAAAGGCTTTGTTTAAACCTATAAACGTTAAACCTACTAGAATATTTCCGTTTTTCACTGCATTCCAATCTTTTGTTGCAATTAACTGATTGGTCAAGCATGATAGGCCTTTCCTAATACCATGTTGTTCGGTGGATGAAATGTTATACTCTTCAGCATAGTTTATAATAACCATCCGAATAATCTTTTCCACCAAGTTGACAACCACATAAGATGAATTAACGGGCTTACAGTTACTAACTGAGTCTCCACTCCCCGATTCATGGAGCGGATTGGTAATTATGTCTTTCCAGTCTCTTGGCAAATTAGACTGCAGAGCAGATGTATGAATGGCATCGGGACGAGTCCAAAACAACATTTCCCAAGGATTTCGTCGTCAGGATCACTAGACTTATCTGGTTTAAGACGTTTAAGTAATCACTAGACGAATTCTTTCTCAATATCCAGGAATTCCGTCAACAACCTGCCATTAAAATTGATTGCTAGCTCTTCGCCATCGTTGGTAAAATGTGCTTCACTAAAATAATCTGACAAAACTTCAGCTTTTGTAATATCACTTCTTGCCAATACTAACGGATTTTATTGCACTAAGTGTGGTGGAGTTCCTTCGGTTCTCTGAGTTCACCTCTTTGCATGTGAGAACAACGTTTTCAGATTATTTTCACAATCCTTAACTACTTGTTTTTATAAAAAATTTTCAAATATGGCAAATATAATGCTAACATTATTGAAACTTGTGTATTATTGCATTTTTGAAGAAACCCGAAATGGTTTCTTCACAACATTTATGTACCCATATGATGTTTGTGGATAATAATATTAATCGATTAGATTAAGCTTTCCCAGCCACGCTGAGGTTAAATATCGTCCCACATTTAGATTTCGACTGTGTATTCTGTGCTTCAGAATGAGAGTCTACCAACGACGTATCAACCAAATGGGTGATATTCGTGGTTTTTCTCTTACTTTTCTTTGTTTCTGCATTTTTTTACTTCCCGCTACACCTGGACTACTTGAAAAGGTGACGGCTTTATCCAGGTCTTGAGGTAGTACTTTAGTAAACTGACTACCAACATACAGTGGTATTTACCCATATGTGTGTTTCAAAGGAGATTTTCTTTTCCCGTGTTTCACAGCCGGGTGTTTTGCTCTTTCCGTAACGGCAAATAAAACACTGACATACTGTTTACCACCAGAACTCATGTCACCACTGCAACCACCATTGACTATCTTGTTGATAACGCCTGAGGGCTCATCGCCTTTTGGGTCAGCAATGTCTCACCCGAATGGTAAAACATCCGGAGCCAACAAGAGTTAGGCTTCGAGCATCTTTTGTACGTGGTGTGATTTAAAATGGTACGCATCTTGTGGAACCAGGTTCTATTCTCATCACACTGCGTTTCTTCATCCATGGGGAAGAAATATTGACTGACTATATTTATTAGTGAAACCGACCATTGTAAACATTTAAAAGATCGACAAAAAATACATTGGATAATCACGAGCATGACAACCAACTAAAGAGTACTACAAAACAAATTTTGAGGAAACATGAGAATCTTAAACTAAATAATTAAAGTTAAAGTACACCAAGTACGTTTTTGACGCAATAAATGTACAAAAGCAAAGTTAATTCGCAACAAGTATGAAATCACACTAGCAAGGAGTAACTCAATCAATTGGCTAAAGGAAATCCCCTATGAGATGCGTGTATATCCCCGGCTTAATTAACTTTTAACTAACTGCAACTTCTCAATTAAAGGTATTGATCCAACCAACCAATTTATAATTTCAGATCAAGGGTTGTTTCTGTCTTACCGTATTTTGAGATTGTGGAGATTTGTTGCTCAGTTGGATGATTTTGATGGAGTTTTGCCCTCTGAGTAGGCTGGTTTGGTCGTAGAGCTTTCATCGTTCTTCTGTACATCATCAGCATAGACCTTAGGTAGACGTTAAGTTTTTGAATTTCTCCACATATGTGTCACAGCTTGTCATGTAGACCTCGATGTTGATTGGTTCCTGTTGACCTTAAACCTGTCATTGTTTACTTTTTTAATTTGGTTGTATCTTCGATTGGTTTGATTTTCAGTCCCATGTTTGTCCACAATTTTTCTGATTGGTTGATAAATTGGATCGATTTCAATGTGCTTGTCCATTGACCTAAGTTCACAGGTTCTAAAAATTCATTGATGTTTTTAGAATCGCTGCTATCTAAGATCTCCACATTTCTCCCTGAAGTTTGTCCTGATGTCGCCCGGAAGAACTGTGAAAGCTCCACGACTAAACGAGCCAGTTCAGAAAACAAAATGAGAACACATGATTAGTAATTTAACAGGCACGCCGAACTGAATAACCGTCTCGGAACAAAAAAGTTGATGAAAATTACAATGAGATACAAGTTAATTTCCTCTCCTCACATCGAGACCTGCAACAAATTAAACGGAACGTAGTCATAAACCAGTTTTCAAAAAACCAAGACGTAAACTGTCGTTGATCATATACTATATATAGTTATAGGCCGGTTTTAGGCGATAGTATGAACTTTAATATGTCACAGAGAATCGTCTCTGGTGTCTTTCATTTGGCACACAGATTCTGTTAAGAGTGGCTATTTCGTAAGGACCTGCTCATTCTCTGTGTAGCCTAGTGACTGTCCCTTGCCAGTTGGCTTTCTGTTTTTAATCATGCTACTTGCATCGGTAACTCTAAAACTCAATTTTTACATGTCGATAGCAGGAGTCTTCAGCTAATTTTGGATAACTTCATTCATTCCTAACAACATAACAGATACAGAATTTTCTCTCTCGGTTCAAAGTGGAAGTCACAAAATTCACTCTTTGTTATACGTCCAAAACTTACAGAGGATATATAAGTACACCAAAACCAAGCTTTAAATAATGAAAGAGACCCAAACAAAACGCCCTTATGGATTGCATAATTGTCGGTACTAGTTGATATCTTCTAAAGGGCTCAGTGAATCCGGTTCTTACGCCAGCATTAGAAATGTACATCTAATAGTTTGAATGTTGACATAAAAGATAAATTAAAAGTATGATTTGCGGTACTTAATATTGTTTACTTTTTCATAGCAAGTATACTTGGATGTGTTTTGAAGAATCTTCTGGATGTATTTAGTAAGGTATTGAGTGTTTTCGCGAATAATGGCATTTCCTCATGATAGTATTGGATATTGAACAAATAGTGTCCTTGAGTGGGCCGCTTCCGCCAAATTAAGTTTTTCGCCATGTCAGGTAGGACTGCCCTGTTCGGAAGGCCTCAGCAATCTCAAACACGACATTTACTGCAATTCAAAGCAGGAAAAATGACGATTGGTGACGATAATTGGGTTCATGCTGACCCGCGCAAGGGATGGGTGTATGTTTATCAGTCCGGGGACGGAAAGTTACACTTCTGCTGGATCGATCGCAAGACGTTTCTTGTTGAAGATGTAGGTGTACTTACATTCGCCCAAATTATTAAGTTAGAATTTCGTCATTAATGCCAAACAGGCTGAGTTTCAAAAGATTCCACAGTGTACAACGGGCAGAGTTTATCTTCTTAAGTTCAAAGGTCCCAAACATTTTTTCATCTGGATGCAAGTAAGTTCTATTTTTCAAACTATTTTCAAAGGAACCCAACGGAAAAAACGATAGTGACATTTGTTCAAGAATAAACGACTACATAAAGTCTCCACCCGCACAAACTACAACACTCTCAAGTAAGTTTTCTGGACCTCAATACATTTTTAGGTGACTGGCTTAGTCGTTTTGAAAGTCTTAACCAACTTTCCCACAGCGATATTCTGGCTTTGTTGTGTAAGTTGTAATTATCCTTTCAGATCTGTCAATCTTAGCGATGGGAGTAGGGCTTGGAAGTGGATTGTCTTCGGAATCTGATGTGTAAGTTTGACTAGACATAGCATAACTCATTTTTGTCTTTAGTAGTTTTAATATAGTGTGGATACTTCACTGAGCTTCTTTGGATATATCTCACTAGATAAGTAGAATGATCCATGAATACATAGTTAAGCTTTCCGAAGTTTTAAGACAGCCTGTTGAATTGCTTCACGGCCTTAAATTGACTCTACCTGCTTAACACATGCTTCCCATAGATGTCCGCAATCTCTAAACAGTGAAAGGACCTACTTTTCGAAGATTACGTGGCTTGCTTAAAAATCTTATATCATGACAAGTCTATTTCCTTCGCATAAAGCCTAAAACTAAGCTTCTGAACAAAAGTGGCGTTGCGAAGCATCCGCCTAGTCACCTTGATTACAGTTTCGTCTTAAAGCCACGATTTGTGCCTATCATAGTAGTACCAAATGGCGTAAACTAAAGCCAAAGCTATATGTCTTCGCCACATGAGAAGGTAGTTGATATATGAAGACAGAAAAATGTCTTTTGTACCAAATAAGTTCTGCATTCGTCAACTTTATATTATAGCATTGTCAATTACCTGTACTAATTGTCAGTGTCGTAGTTAAATCATTACCGGATTGAAACTAAGATAGTTGATTTGCACTAATACTATGCTAACTGACAATTCAAAGTATTACTTAGTTGGTTTTCTAGGCTTTTAAATGTATACTCAACACTTCATATTGTCTAGTTCCTGCTACTCAATTAAACTACGTATGTTTTTGTAATTTGTTTGCAGATCATCTGCTCAAGCAAATGCTGTGACAATCGGGCGTCATTTAAATACGGGACACCTAGATGAATCTAATGCATCTACATCTGTCATTGGGACTACTGCTGCCACACCATCTTCAGGGACTTCATCTACCGGCGGTAACTCTCTACGCCCGTCTGTAAGTTATGTAAAATTGATTTGATTTACTTACCCTGCAGTAACTCCTAGTTAAACTTTATATGTTATTGACGTTTCTGGATTCTTCCGTAGTCATACTGCGGGGGATTGTTTAATGTGTATGAACGTTCTCCCCGGTACAAGTTAACTAGTCTGATTGGGCTGTTGTTTGGATTATGTGCGATCAGCCTGAGCTTTTCGTTGCAGTTTGACATCCTAACCAAACCTCGCACTTTTAGTGGTATCTTCGTAAATCAAACAGTTTAAAAAACAGTCTGACTGGCCTTGAGTCACACTTCAGCTACTCACTATCTCCAAGCAACATGAATAGAAAATTGGTGTAGGTCCTCTAACTCTCAATGAGGTTAGAGAGTATATAAGCAACCTAAAGCGATAAGGGGCTGATGGACCGCTGAGATTTTTGGGGGTGGTGGTCGAGTTTCAACAGTTAGATTAACCGAGATCTTAGCTAAAATGTGGAAATTGGACATTATCCTATCTGACTAGCCTCAATCGCCGATCGTCCCTGTCCATAAGAAAGAGTGAAAATCCTCACGGAGGAATCAGTTTAACTAATGTAGTGTTTAAAGTATTGGCCTCTAATACTTTGACGTCTAACTAAAGCTCGTAATGAACAGACCCGAGGAAAATAGTCTGATTTCAGATGTGGACGTGGATGTAAAGACTAAATATTCACCCCCAGCATGTTCTGGAAAGTAGACATCATTTTCGATATCCTACTGTAGTTGTATTCCTTGATCTTAAGGTGGGGTTCGACTCTGTTGATCGTTATATTCTGTATCACTTTTTCAAGGAAAGGCGTCCTAAAGAAGTACACCAACATTGTACGGCCCCTCTAATCGAACACTACTGATCGAGTCAGACCTTATGGTGAACTGTCACAAGTGGTTACTTCAAGTGGTGTTCGTCAGGGTTTTCCGCTTTCCCCATTTTTATCTTTGTCATAGACATACTTTTATAGATAACACTTTCATTGTCTGACTTTACGGATCGATCATCTACCAGGAGATTTACTTGTTGACTTAGAATACTCAGATTACATAATTATGTTTGGTAAGGATGCTGACAAATTACAATCTTTTGACCACCTTATGCAGCAGTGCAAGCATGTTTTGGATGCTATTCTCTCCCTCCAAATGCAAAATGTCGCTTCATGATTGGGTTGCGTCAGCGCCTGGATTAACGACAGGGAGTGAAGTAGTTGAACGCATCAAGTGCCTCACTTATCTTGGGAGTTTCATCGGCCCTGGTGGTCTTTAACGAAATCTGTTCATAGATTCAAAAGGCTGGATTAGCTTTGTCAACTTGCCTCACTTGTGGCGTAGGCGAAATATCAGTCTGTCAAACAAAGGACACGTTCACTGTGTATTAGTTCTCTCCGTTCTGCTTCATAGATGTAAAACATGGTCATTTAAAGTAGAGGATGTTCTTTGATTACTAGTATTTGATCATAGGTGTCTCTGAAGTACTGCTCATATATTTTTGGACCATCAACTTAATAATGGTTGGGTTAGGAATAAGGTACTAGGCAGAAATGGCAAATTGGTTAGTGAGGGGGTTCGGACGTTTATTACGTATGCACCACAACCCACCTCGATGGGAATGTTGTGTTGTAGTAGAATGGAAGAAAAGTAGGAGAGGTCAAATCAAAACATCAGTTCATAACGTTGTTGACAATTGGTCAACAGGTGTAGACTACTTGATTGAGGTTCGCGTGATTATGGTTGCCAGTGGTTATGGACTTTAGATGACATGGCTCACAACCGTTTGCAATAGAACAGATGTATCCATCCTCCCCCCCCCAAATTCTGAGCTTCTGAATTCCTCATGACATTTTCGTATTTTTATTTTTCTAGTCTATATTTTTTTTGAATCGTATCTTCGATGCATAGTCCTTTGAATTACCACTGATACTGTGACTACCTCTACCACTATAGAACTTGACCCTAACCAGGAAGTCTGTTTGTACTAACACACCTCAGACCATCAGTCGGTCACTGGATGGACTAATGCAACATGTTGATCTGCTTGCCGTTAGCTTTTTATCAGTATATTATGCCATCCAGTATTACGAAGTTATTAGTAAATTACCGTAGATCTATGGCCCTTTTGTGTTCTGATTGACTACATATCCAAGTACGTTAGTTAATGTATTTCAGTTTATCAGACGGGGAAAACAAAACATTTAAGTCATTTAATTAAAGGTTTGTAAATAGGTACTAGACTTTTGTCGGTAAAAATATAAGTAATATACTACATCTCAAAGCCCTGGTATGGCCGAGGGTGGGGTGGGTTCTCCCTCCCTCTCGAAATACTCTCACACGGCCACGCCTATACAGCCTCTGCCAGGGAAGTCCTACTCACTGCCTTCTCGTGGCGGGGGTGTTGTTTACGTAAATGAGAGGACGAAAAGCGAATTTCTGGTGCTATAACCGGATCCCAAATCAATGGTGCACATGGGCTCCAGTATCTTAAGGGAACGAATGGCGTATGAACCAATCGTCGGCCACCGGCTACCATGGGACTGCATCTCCTCATGATGCTCCACTGCCTTGTGGACTAGACCTTTAGGTCAAAGGCTCGGGGCGTGGCCCCCTAAGAAAACCACCTGCTTCAGTTTGGGCACCTGGGCAGTATCTCAGCTCACACACTAAAACCATGATGAACTATCTGCTTATGAAAAATATTCTTTTCGCTCCGATTTACACCGAAATGACTCGCACTACTATTATTATTATTATTGCGATTATTATTATTAGTATTATTTTACCACGTCATTTATTCACTCTCTCATTCCCACTTTATGTATCCGTTTCGACCTAGACAGCAGCTCGCCTATGGTGAAAATTCGGCTCTATCTAAACGTTCTCGAGTCACTGCCTGGTTGAAAATTGTATGTTACCACCGAATACGAGTACTGAAGCAGTTTTTCTGAAACCACGTGGACCATTCAAACTGGCTGCCTTCAACGTTCGCACACTTATGCAGGTCGGACAACAGACGGGGCTGGCTATGTCTTTGGAAAGTCTTAATATTGACGTTTGTTGTCTATCCGAGACCCGTATTCAAGACTGGTGAAGTACTACAAATTCGCTCTCCATCTGTCGCTTCAAAAAGCTTGTTTTATGTGCGTTTATCCGGCGACCCTGTGGCATCTTCGTCTGGTCTTGCTGGCGTTGGTGTCGCACTAAGCACTAGAGCTGAGGCAGCACTAATCGATTGGATCCCCATTGACAGTCAGTTATGTGCTGTTAGATTAGGAAGTTCCATCAAAGTGAGAAGAAATCGGCGTGAGAAACGATGTCTTTTCGTCATCTCCGCCTATGCCCCGACAGATTGCAGCCCGGATGCAATCAAGGATGAGTTCTACCACCAGTTATCTGTTCTTCTCCAGAAAGTGCGTTCGACAGATATTGTAGTACTAGCTGGAGACTTGAATGCTCAGGTCGGGCGTCTAGGCACAGTAGAGAGTCGTTTAGGTGGCCGATGGGGACTCGTTGGTCGCAGGACAGATAACGGGGAACGTCTACTGCAACTATGCACAGACCACAACCTGTTTCTGGCTAGCACTAACTTTCGGCACAGTCATCGCCGATGTGCCACCTGGCGTCCCCCTTCTGCATCTCAAGCCTGGACTCAGATTGATCACATCGCGATCAGCTACCACTGGCGCGGTTGTGTACAAGACTGCCGCTCCTTTTGGAGTACCTATCTGGAATCTGATCATGCTCTGGTATGCGCCAATCTTACCTTACTTTTCAGTGGACAACGAAGTGACCGCCACCACAGGATTGATGTTAGCAAGCTGGCTGCAACTTCTGTTGCTAGTAAGCACCGAACCGAGCTAGCTTCTAGGCTAGCTAGCATTCCACCGAAAAGTATAGATGAGCGTTGGTTGCAATTGCATGACGCCATGAAAATGGCGGGTCAAGTCAGTTGTGGGTCCGCGAAACGTCCCGCTTATAAGCACTGGGTTTCTTCTGGTTCCTCACAACTGATTGAAGCCCGTCGGTCTACTCCGGGTGACCGTGAGTTTGACCACAGACGAAGGATGTTACGTACTGAAATCGGGCAAAGCTTGCGTAAGGACCGAGAAGCCTGGTGGTCGGAGCGTGCTAACAAGCTGGAAGCAGCAGCTGCATCTGGTAATTAGCGGAAGCTCTTCCAACTCATCCGAGCCACTGGCAGCAAGAAGTCTGGTGTGAGCGAAACAATCTGCGAAGATGACGGAACGCCAATCACTAACATCCATCGACGTCTTGGACGATGGGCAGAATTCTTTGAAGGGCACTTCAACTGGCCTGCTGCTCCGGCAACATCGGTCAGACTGTCCTGCCCTCCATGGCCGGTGACGACTGATCCACCAAATGGTGCGGAAGTCCGCAAGGAACTCCAACTCTTGAAACGTTACAAATCACCGGGCCCAGACGACATACCCCCGGCTCTTTTTAAAGATGGTGGTGACTTTTTGACTAAGGGACTGACGACGTTGTTTACAAAGATCTGGGAACTAGAGAGTGTACCAACGTCATGGAATGAGTCGATAGTTGTTCCTATCTTTAAAAAGGGTTCACGTCGTTCCTGTAACAACTATCGGAGGATAAGTCTACTTCCGATTGCTTCCAAGCTATTGGCTTCCGTTATACTTCGTAGGTTGTTCAAAACCCGAGAAGGATTGACTCGCGAGGAGCAGGCTGGGTTTCGTTCCGGTCGAGGATGTATTGATCATATCTTCACCCTCCGCCAAATGTTAGAACACCGCCATACTTATCAAAGGCCAACAATCGTAGTGTTTCGTGATATCAGGGCTGTCTTCGATTCGTTGGATAGGACTGTTCTGTGGGAGTGTCTATTGAAGAAGGGTGTGCCTGAGAAGTTTATTAACATCCTAAAAGCCCTATACACAAACACCTCAGGCAATGTGAGGGCATACAACCACCTTTCTCCACTATTCCATTCGAGCAGTGGAGTTAGGCAGGGTTGTCCAATCTCACCATTCCTCTTCAACTTTGCCATCGATGACATTCTGGAAACAGCTTTGACGGATGTAAGTAATGGTGGTGTGGATCTGTTGCCTGGAGAAAGACTTCTCGACCTTGAGTATACGGATGATATTGTCTTACTGTGCGATAATGCCCAAGCCATGCAATCCGCACTTAATCAGTTGGCAATTAATGTTCGTAGGTATGGTATATGCTTTGCACCCTCGAAGTGCAAAGTACTTCTACAAGACTGGCAGGATTCTAATCCTGTACTCACTCTGAATGGTGAGCAGATAGAAGTAATCGAGAAGTTCGTGTATCTGGGTAGCTGTATAAGTGCTGGTGGTGGCATGAGTGATGAGATCAATGCACGTATAGTGAAATCCAGAGCGGCTTATGCCAATCTGGGCCATCTTTGGAGCCTTCGTGATGTTAGTCTGGCTGTAAAAGGTCGGGTCTACAACGCGTTGGTGAGAGCAGTTTTGCTCTATGCTTGTGAAACCTGGCCTCTCCGAGTTGAGGATGTTAGACGACTCTCTGTGTTCGATCATCGTTGTCTCCGAAGGACTGCTGGCATCCAGTGGCAACACCATGTTAGTAATGCAGAGGTTCGGCATCGTGTGTTCGGGCACAGAGACGATAATGCAATCGGTGTCACCATCTTGAAATATTGACTTCGGTGGCTTGGACATGTTCTACGAATGTCGTCCCAGAGAATTCTTCGTCGTGCATTATTTGCCGACTCTGGGACTGGTTGGAAAAAGCGGAGAGGTGGTCAGTATATGACATTGTGTCGTGGTATAAAAGAAAGCTGCAAAGGGCTAGCTTCTGTTGGTCCTTCACGACTCCCTGGTTGGAGTCCGAAAGACGGTGTAACGCAGTGGCTAGAGACGTTATCAGATATGGCTCAGAATAGAAGCCAATTGCGATCCTGCTGTAACCTTTTACTTTCTTCATAAAAAGTGGTTGCTTCTTCTTTAACTGAAAGATTTCTTCTGATTGTACCTTTCCGTTTCCCCCATTATTGTTCTCTCTCTTTTTTTAATAATTCCCCACGTTCATTACTTTTTTTTCTCTTTTCTCCTTCTCTTCAAATTCTCATTGTTTTGTGTGGCGCATATATATTTGGTGCCCCCTTGTACCAATATTTATGTGTTCAAATAAATAAATAATAAATATTACTAAAACAATTCAATAACACCTAGAAGAGATATAAATATGATACAGTTCATCGGCAAATAGTTTGTTTACTAGTTTAGAGGGCATGAGTATTCTTGTTTTTTTTAAGGGATTCCGAGTTAACATACAAACGTTTTTGATAGTCACAACTGATGTTACTTCTTTCTCATAACATGTTTTCTCCATTCTTTTTTAAAGACAACCGATAAACGACTTGAAGCTGGGAAAATACAACTTCAGGACTTGAGAAATATCCTCTCATCAATCTCTACTGGGATACGAAGTTCATGTATGTAATGGTTTAATTTTATAGACGAAAAACTTTACCAAACTTTCATATTACAGAAATTTAGTTACTTTGAGATTTAGTTTAAGAAAAATGTTTCACACAGAATACTGTTACATAACTCACACATACTTTCACCAAAAGTAAATGTCAAAATCGTATATATGTTGTTTTAACTACTCCGAACTAACTGATTATGATTTTTTGTTAAGTCATCCTTGACCTCATAAGACGTATCATAAAAACGGATGATGAAATCAGCCATTCAAATTATTTCATCAACACGCGTTGACTGCATGCCGGATGGTAAAATTCCAAAGCTGAGTAATATAGTGAAGCCTATAAAAATAATGTAGGTGCACATTAATCGGTTTGGGTCTTTGCGAATATCTCTATCAACGGTTAGAGTAATATTGCTCATAGTCCGTCTCAGGTTCATTGTTCAGGTGAATTCTCGTTTCATATCCCCTTAGATTTCAGTTTTAAAAGTGTATTTTGCTTTTTATTTCGCGAATACGTTCTCCCTTTTCAAATTATATTTCTTATGTGTAATGCTTTCTACTAGCACTAATACTGTTACTACTCCTAATATTTTGGAATTCGTTTTGATTTCATTTTTCTGTGGATATATAGTGTAGCAAATTAAGCTGATGCATACCTACGTTGCAGCTGACTGACTGATGCACACATATTCCAGATTCCTCTGTTGCTTATGACTGACAGCTTATTTGATCATTTCTTATTTTGACCAAGATAATACAATAATTATGGACTTATAATTGCAGAGATTGTTGATAAAGTTATTGGAATCAATTATTTACTTGAATATTCATCGGTTTCATATATTGTAGATTCTTACAATAGTAAATCGATTTGTAGATTTATTGTTATTTACTAATATGGTTGGCATTTTTTATTGGGAAATAATGTGTATTACATTGTGGTTAAGTCTACTGTTTCTAATTAACTGAGAGCCCTACGAAATAGTGTTTATTCAAGTCACCATCTTACATCGGTGCAGAAAGATGAAATTAACAAGAGGAATACCGAAGGAGTTGACACAATAACGTAATTAATGATAGTGTAAACAATTACTTATTGAAGATTGTGGTTCAAAAAGGGTATGTATGAAAATACTGGAACTCAATATCTAGGGAAAAAAAGAAAAGTGAATGCATTCGCTCTAGTGCGACCGATTTTAACTTGCTTTACCCAACGTTTGCTATCACTGATCTTGGTTGTCATGCAGACCCCAGTCATGTTGTCTGAACGTGTTAACAGGTCTCAATCCATGTCAGTGATGTTATAAACTGATGTTACGTTTGAGTCTGATCACCCCTAGATTTCATCCAACTCGCCATCGCGCGCGTTGTAGGCCTAACATTTTACAGCCAGACTAACGTTAAAACTACACAAAAGATGGCCCAAATCGGTATAACATTTTTTAACTTTCACCATACATAAACTGATCTCACTTGACACACCATCAGTATTCATACAACTGCCTAAATACACAAACTCTTCGACTATATCTGGAGGCTCACCACAAAGAATGAGTGTAGATACATGCTCCTATCAGTCTTTCAGAAGTACTCTGTGTTTATAGGATACAAAATACCTGTATTTTTACTAGTTTCTAACTGATGAAGTGGGATTTAGATGGCCTTATATCATGTAATAAAACAATCTTGCCCGGGTACTCATGGTCAAAAAGTCTTTCGAGGAACAAATTTACACCATCACATACGTCCTTCAGAGCTGTTTCCAGAATATTGCCGTCGGCAATGTGGAGAAAGGTTGGAAAGATTGTGCGATCCTGCCTAACCTCATTGCTGGACCGGAAAAGTAATCTAACACTTCCCTTCAGGTGTTTGCACATAAAGCCTTCGAGGTATTAATAAACTCAGACATACTCTTAGATTACTAACCCCAAAGCACAATAGTCAGTGACCTTGAGTGCTGTTAGAAGTATGAGGGCGGTTATTACTTCCCAGTTGTTCACGTCGTGGAGGGATTCTTCTAGAGGTACCTAAAAAAGAAATTGGGTTAGAGGTGGTTCTAGTGACCTGAGGGCGTGACCGCAGTACTCAAGGGACAACTGATTGAGGTCAGTCACACACGAATTTTTTGTAAATAATTTTCGTGCTAGCTCAGTACTTGTTGAGACCTTACTTCCGGAAACGGATATCCGCGGGATAAGGCGAGATGTCCTGCTGCTTTTAGTCTTACCGCTCTTCAACCGACCTATCTGGCATGGTAGGACCTTGAGGAATGATTGTTTCAGCCAGTGCAGCTCGATTGGTTCATCACGATAAGCAAGCCCAACCACCACTTAAAGGTAGTAACAACGATCGGGAAAGTTTGGGCTCGCCCGGGATCCAATGCAAAATCCTGTTCAACGAGTCGAAAGGAGACCTACTGTCAAGAAACAACTATCGTCGACCTGTAATAGGTATGACGGTTAAAGAGTTGATCGATACATCCACAATGTAATGATAAACTATTCTGCTCCTCGCAAATGCAGGTTTTTTACAATCTGTGGGGTATAGTTGTTGCAAGTAACTTTAAAACAACGGAGAGCATACTGACGCCCCAGTAACTTGCATAGGTCAAGAAGGTTTTTTCCAAAGATAGGAATGATGATCTCTTTAGTATAAAATGATCAGATTCCTGTTTGCAAAGTTTTTCCAGTTAACGTAGTAAGTTTCTTGACCAGTGATTCGTCATTATCGTTGTAAAGGGCCACGGTCAGGCTGTTTGAATCAGGTGACTTGAAATGCTTCAAAAGTTCCTCCCGTATCTTGGACTGAACAACATTACCCTAGTTATGTGGTATTTGGTTTGGAGTGTTACACATTACGAATTTGTTTGCTGTTAGCTTTTAACTGTACACATGTTAAATTAACTACGAGTAAAATTTTATTGCACTTAGCCAGTGCTTCTGCTTCTGGTTTTGGAAACTTTTAAACAGTAAACTATTAGTGCTCATGAAATGAATTCATATGTGATTGTTTTAATTTATTTCCTATCTATTATTTTACATTACTTACAAGGTTATACTGTTTAATCGTTGATAATGTTCTTATTCTCTATAGCAAATGATGCAAAGGTAGAATTAAACGATGTTTTAAACGTAGATAACTTACACTCACTTTTGAATAAGCCAGATATTCAAGAAAGATTGTTACCTCATCTTCCTCCTCTGGATCCTGAATCAGCGAGTACAACTGACTTGGAAAATATTACTGCAAACATTCAGTCATCTCAATTCAAAACCACTTTGAAAGTAAGGGTTAGATATGTTTTAGTTTCAATAATAATTTTGTCGGTTAAAAGTTCAGTTGACCAAGCTTTTCTTTCGTAGCTTAATATTCCTGAACATTGTAATTTAAATTGTTCTTATTATTATTATTCCCAAGAAGTATCAAATTAATCTCATCACTTTGAATTAAAAAGGAAGGTATATTTTTGTTCAGTGGATATTCAGTCACACACTTTCTGTCTCTATTTTTTTATTTATTTCCTTTTAGGCATTTGTTGAAATACTAGGTTGAATGCAAAGTTAAAAATATTTTATTAACTGTTGATCCATTGACAGAGTCTGCTTATATTTTTCGACCAACTTTTAAATAATCCCTAAACAGTGTAGATAAATATCTTTGTATCCATTGTTCTATATTTCTTAAAATCGTAGTGACGATATGTTCCTGTAGCACTTAAAAAATACTTCATAGTTAATTGACAAACTGTCTAGTGTATCGAATGTGCTCGCTTCCATATATAATAGTTTGGTACCATTATATAGACTAATCCGATTGAGGTACTAAACTGTCAGGGATTATCGCTCTCCCTCACATCATAAATTTTAGCTCAAAACCAATCTTCATAGCTTCAGTAGGCGAGACTCTAATTTATGGACGAGCCAATCAAAAACGTTTTAGAGATTTCAAGGTTACGGCGCCAACTTTAGTGCCTAATGCTAACGACCGATCGGTTTACAGGTAATTTTGTACAAAACGTGATAATTGAGCGGCTATAACAAATAAAACGGCGAGACTATAATTTGTGGACGAATCAATCAGTTATATGATAACAGATCTCGAATTTTAACGCGGAAGCCTTTCATCCATTTGGCTAAATAGACTTCTGGCATTATAGCCGATATCGGTTCGTGATGGAAACCCCATATATAATTCTTAACTAAGGCAAATTATGATAATTATCGCGAACTGGATAATAAAAGCACCAGTAACACTAGTTGCAGCCAGGTATTATAATATATACGGATGTTTGGGGAGCGTACAGACTCCTACATAGGCTTATTTATGTGCATCGTGTCGTTATCCACAAGAGGCATCTTGTGTACTCAACAACTGGAGTGCACATAAACAATATTGAATCTATGTGATCGAGGCTCGAAGAGTTTTTGAGACTTTATCATGGCTTCAGAGGCTGACTGTTCTGTAGCCGTATGGATGATTTCCTCTACTGTATGCATTACGATTTTAGAACCTCTGAACCTCTTTCTAACCTTGACAAGTTTTTGAACCACGTATAAGAAGTGTATCGACTTCAATTCCTTGGTTTTCTATGACATTTTACTCTATACTTACTGCTTTCTGACTAAGATTTCTCAAGGTCACTTAAGATTCGTTCAAAGGTCGTCCATAAATTCGAGTCTCGCCGCTTCAACATTGTCCCCTCATTTTTATTCTACTATTTCATTCGAGTTGAACATTATTTCTTATGTTTATTTTCTATGCATTTCAACCACTTAACTTCTCATCTTTTTAATTTCTTGTTATACTGATGTAAACTGTAACAATTAGAACCTGTACATTTGTCTAGGTTCTACTTAATATCAAAATACGCCCTAGAAACTTGCTTAGGCTGAAAGTTATTGTTGTATTCTAAATTTGAGACAAATAACTGGTAGTCAGTATATTTAATCCTGTTTTAACTGTTTCTGAATGGTGATCGACCAGTGTTTGAGATAGTTGACCCAAATATTCACTAAAATATCTGTCTTGGATGTCCACTTATTGAGTCTAGTCAATCATTTGGTTTCTCTATAGGTTACTATCCATCGATTATTAGTTCTCAAACTCATTACCTTGATTTTTACACAATCTAATATTTTCCATAAGCAAATGTCAGTATATGACATGGTGTCGTGGTATGAAATAAAGCTGCAAAGGGCTAGCTTCTGTTGGTCCTTCACGACTCCCTGGTTGGAGTCCGAAAGACGGTGTAACGCAGTGGCTAGAGACGTTATCAGATATGGCTCAGAATAGAAGCCAATTGCGATCCTGCTGTAACCTTTTACTTTCTTCATAAAAAGTGGTTGCTTCTTCTTTAACTGAAAGATTTCTTCTGATTGTACCTTTCCGTTTCCCCCATTATTGTTCTCTCTCTTTTTTTAATAATTCCCCACGTTCATTACTTTTTTTTCTCTTTTCTCCTTCTCTTCAAATTCTCATTGTTTTGTGTGGCGCATATATATTTGGTGCCCCCTTGTACCAATATTTATGTGTTCAAATAAATAAATAAAACACAATCTAATAAAGATTTGAAAGCTACACAGATTTTAAATATCACCGTAAAAGTTCATGAGATTTCACGTCTATTTGCACAATACACAATCTTTTGCATTGGTTCTTTTCGCTTATGGCGCGAACTCTCTTAACCTGGGGTTAAAAGTTTAAAGTATCTACACCTTTATTTCAGGTATTACTTAATTTACGATAGATCCAGTTATATTTTTATTGCATCTATCACTGTTCACTTTTGTTAAGTTTTCACTCTCTTTTTACTCGTTTTTGTTACTTAACTAGCTTCCTCACTGTATTCGTCTTTTGTAGTCCTTCTCAGCTGCTTTTCGAACAGGTGAACTTGCCCCGGTTTTGGCTCAATTCAATTTGGGTATAAAAGCCGATGAAGCTGCAAGACGAGGTGGTAAGTCTGTTAAATGGATTTTCTTGCTTAAACAAATGATCTATACCAATATGATTTTCCTGTATGTATCGTTTTATACATAAACAGCCCTACTTAGTTTCGTCCATATTAATTAATTAGTTGGGTATAATGTCAGGTCAGTGAACTATACTAAATTATTAATTCAATTGACTATTTCGTGTATTCTGTTAATTCAAAGATAACTGACTAAAGTACAACTAATTGTCGAATCATAAAAAACGATTACAGGTTATTATTTTTGGGAAATTGTCGAAGTTTGACTTTCGATTCCCAACTTCTGCAGAGTTGTTTTAAACCTCACTTAACTTATCGACTATCCGACTGGCAATAAATGTCGTAAACTTTCGCATGATAAATGTCATTCACATGAAAGTGCGTGTATTCACAACATGTTCTTAAATCTCAGCTTCATGTTAAAATGGAGACACATTTTTTGGAACGGTATGCTCTATAAGTACAAGTTCGGAAACTAATAGTTAATTTATTTTCGATTTCAGATCTGGTGGCGTTTTCAAATGCACTCCAAGGGAAAACGACTGATACAACCTCTCAACCCTCAAATGACAGCGGTTCAAATGTCACCCAAAGTATGACTTCTCAGGAATCATCAAAGGACAAGGCAGACAATAAAAAGGAAGGGAAAACTACTTCAGATACTAAAGCTGATAAAAAGGATGAGTCTTTTGATGACAATAAAATGGACACAGATTGACCAGTGTCAAAGCTGTATTAGCTAAAACTTTATTAGATGTATTCATTACACTGCGTTAAATCGACTGATTGAGGTTGATTATATATATATATATATATATATATATATATATATAGCAAGAATATTTTGGCATGCTTACACAGACGAACAAAAACTCATTTTAACCTTATCACTTGCAGATTTGCTCTTTGACGATTGTTTGTGCGTATGTATTCAGAGCATCCATGAATTTTTCTGTCTTTTCTACAATATTTACAAAGTTAGTTTTTGAATAAAAATAAAATTGAAGGCTAATGTCTGTAACTTATTTGTTTTTTCTCTACTACTGGTGATAATAATAATAATAACATTAAGAATCCAGTGTTCTGTCTCAGCAATCCAATTATTCCTTTAAATTGTTCATTTTCTGCTGGGTGATGCTGGTTTACATTCAATATAAAGAACATCGTCAACTAAAAGCTGTTAGGGATCTTAGTGAACATTTGAATGAACCTTCTCGGTTGTTTTAGTCAATTTTCATTCAGAGACAATCTAAGTAGAGCCTAAAATGTCTTGTATATTTATCAAAAATTTAAGCGTGAGCAAGTTTGTGAGTTGTATTGTGGTGTGGGTTACTTATATCCACACAAGTAGTATATGACGGTGGTCAGGCATAGAATGTATTTCAGTAGAAAGTCGATGAGGAAAGAACGGAAACGAAACTCAATTGGTGTGAAAACGCACAAACAATGAAATCTGAGATAATGGATTGATGTTTGCAACAGGAACAGTCAAGTTTGATATGATGGATTGATATTTTGCAAATTAACGATTTAATATATGGTTCTCAGATTTTATTGAAATGCTCTGTAATTATGTGTCTAAATACATTCGATTGTCCCCATTGGTGTTCTTGTCCACTACAGTATCACCTTCAACCGTCCTATGACAAAAACTCGTGTGCTATTAAACTGAATAATAAGTAATCTCAATGTTGGTATGTTTTAGTGGTTGTTTTCCGGAAACAGTATTGAGTAGGTATGTTTACTCCGTTGCTAGGTTCCCTCTAATGGAACTAATATTGTGTTTATCAGGTAGGAAGCCCTCAGTCATAACCTTAACTGTACTTTTGTATTAAACATTGTTGAAGCAGACAGTTTTCATGTAACGCTATATTTCACAGAAATTAGACGATTGTACAGAAATCTGATTATGATGGAGTTTCGTTGAGATCATAAACCAATCTATGTTAGACAATTATTAAAAACCTGCAAGCACTATACGGCTGTTTCGTTCTAATATGGGAATCCTCGACTACACATTCACGACCCAGCAAGCGGTAATGGAATCCATAACTCTCGGTCTCGCGCGCGAACGTTTAACCCGTACTTCCTCTTGAAGTACGTATTGGTGTCATTTAGAAGAAAAACGAGAGCTTCACAACCAATCTGTCCAGCTGAGATATAGCGATAACTCTAACATCCTGAGCTACAAATTTCCTCCATTATCTTAAAATCAGATCATACATTTAGGGTTTTATAAAGTCAGAAAATAGCCAGTTGAATTTTGTCCACATTTCGTTATGTTAACATTCATAGCAATTGGAAAAACTGAACTACTACAGTCCTAGAAACAGCCGTTCAGTGCTTCCAGGTTTTCAATGGTGGTCTAACATCAATCGGTTCATGATCTCAATCAAAAACTTGACAATCTTCACAACCCCTAAAACTGGTAATTACAATGTGCTCACTAGTGACTAGCTTCGTGAGAAAATTCTCGGAGTTCTGGTGAGAAGTCGCGACCATTGGAGCTAATCCGTGTCTACCTCAGTACAATGGAAGATGGTCGCGCAACTTCGTGGATTGGTTGAGGTTGGACATTAACACCGTTGGATGCCGGTCCTGGGTTCGAATCCCGTGAGTGGGATCGTGGATGCGCACTGCTGAGGAGTCTCACAGTGGGACGAAACGGCCGTCTGGTGCTTGCAGGTTTTCAATGGTGGTCTAACATCAATCGGTTCATGATCTCAGTCAAAGAAATGGGATTGTTGAAATATAACGTTGAATTTGAAAATAACTCAACTTAAAAAGTATATGCCTCTGTAAAATGCGTCTCAACACTATGGTAATATTCGTCTGCATTTTCTCCCAATAAGACGTAAAATTGTTAGTTAAGAATATTTCAAATTGAGCTCTACAGTACCTCATGAAATAGCTAAAAGTGGTATTTTACTATGGAGTGGAATGTTAATAAAGGATAGTGTTAAACTGATCTAAGAATATCTTTTAAACCATCCTGATAGTCTTCTCATTATAATAGATACTTTCCCGTTGATGTTCTTCATATGATGTAAGCTAGTGTGTATAAACTACAAGTAACATTACTCAACATTGATTTTAGTGACTTGGTGATATGATGGGAGGAAAAATCAATATTCGATTGATTTACTTAATATGAGTTTTATTCATCATTACATTCTTTTGATTCAATGTAATGATTACGCAATGTAATATTTCTTTTCTCGTATGATATTTATTCTGTATAATATACAATATTCTTGTATTCCATTGACTATGAACTATACTCAGCATTTGTTATAACTGTGAGTATTTTTCATGGATGTGATTTTCTTCTAATTATTAATCAAAATGAGTGTACAATCAATATATAAACGAGTATATTTTCTACTAAAGGGACTTCGCTCTTTTCTCTGGTTGCTACAGAATACACTTCTTATTTCAAGCTTGGACTTCTCCCTCTTGATAGCGGGGCTGGGGCGCAGCAATAGCTAGCTCACTGGTCATTGGTCACCGAATCCTCGATCTCGTTCTCAAACTACGTGAACCCGTGATAGCTCTCTCTTTTTCAAACCCTAACACTTGGAGACATTCATTCTTTGGATGAATTCTCTTATTATTCTGTAGTTATTCGTCTCACAATATTCTTCTATATTTTCTTATCTTTGTCATTGTGAAGTGTAAATACTTGAACCACTGAACGTTTCTCCTAGTCGCTACCTTATCTTGTTAGCGGCGAAATACTATACGTAAAGCAATAAATGAACAGTTCCCTTATTTTTTTACTGTTTACTCGAAATATTACAAAATAAAAGCTTATTTTACTATCATATTTTGTCGAAGAACATTGCCACTGAAGCAGTCATGCTTGTCGTCAGCGGATAACCAAGTGGGTTTAATTCCCTGTTTAATTGCTATGCAGGACTGGTTTGCTTGTTCATGTCTGTTACTCCTCGTGGAGCTTTGACTACCGACCACCAGTCTCCCATCGACTGTCCTGAGGTCTCTTTTCTGTTGTTCCCAGGTGTTGTTCACTTTTTTGATGTCTGCTTCCAATCCCTAACTCATTGTGTTCTTTGATCTATCCCTTTCCATTTCGCTTTCGGGATTCCAAGTACGAGCTCGTTCCATGATGCAACTTGGTGCTTTCTGCTATATTTATCCTACCCACCTCCAACGTCTTCCTAATTTTGATTTGTTCCCTGTCACAGTAAGCTGTTGCTGATGCTATCCGGCTAACAGATATTCAGTATTTTGCGTCGACAATTGTTTAAAACTACCTGTGCTCTTTTGATGATGGTTATAGTAGCTGCCCAAGTTTCAGCTACGTACAGTAGAACCGTATTGACATTTGTACCGAGAATTCTGACTTTGATGTCGGCTGACAGTTGTTTTGAGTTCCATATATTCTTCAGTTGTAGGAATGCTGGCCTTGCTTTGTTAAACCGTATCTTTACATCTGCATCCGATACTCCTTGTTTGTCGACGACGCTGCCCAGGTATGTGAAAGTTCCTACCTACTTCACAGCTTCTCTACCAAGTGCGATTGGGTTTGTTCTCTGTGTTGTATTTTAGGACATTACTTTTTCTCTTGTGAATGTTGAGACCTACTGATGCAGAGGCTGGTGTCACAGTGGCTGTCTTCACCTACATTTTTTGCTGTGTATAGGGTAGAAGAGCTAGGTGGTTTACAAAGTCCTAATCGTCTGGATGCATTCAAGCTCTCTATTGTATTCCGTGCTTCCCCTTAGATGTGAAGGTATTCGTAATCCAGTCAAACACCAGGAGAGAGGCAGAGTAAACAGCCTAGTCTGACGATGGTTCTCGCTTGGAATGCAGCTGTCCACTGTACACGACTTTGCAGTGTAGTCCGTCGCATGAATTCTGTATGATGTTGACGATCTTCTCAGGTATACCATAGTATGGAAGAACAACGTTCTATAAGGTTCTCGTATCCACATTGTCAAACGTTTTTTCATAGTCAGGGATGTTGATGTAAAGTGACGCGTTCGATTGAGTTGATTGCCCAACAATGATGCATAGTGTCGAGATTTGGTCTGTGAACGACCGATCCTTACGGAATCCAGCCTATTGATCTCGAAATTGGGCGTCATCCGGTTCAGCAACACTGTTGAATACTTTTCCTGGTGCCGACAGTAGTGTGATGCCTCTGTATTTTTCACATTTGCTCGGATCTTTCTTTGGTATCTTGATGAGTTGTCCTTATTTCCAGTCTGTCGGTGGCACTTGTTCTTCCTCCCGAATCCTGAATAGAATGTGAAGCATGCTTGCAGTTACTCCTATGTCTGACTTCAGAGCTTCAGATAGTGTATTGTCAGGTCTTGCTGCTTTCCCGCTCTTGATTCGTCTGATGGCCATCCCGATTTCTTCTATTGTTGGTGAAGTGACATCTATAGGAAGGTCTGTGTGTTCTGCATCGGTGTCTGGTGGGTTCAGTGGGGCTGGTCTACTCAAGAGTTTTTCGAAGAGCTCTACCCACCTGTTCCACTGTTCTTGAATCTCAGTAACTGGGTTGCTTTCTCTGTTCTTGTTCAACTGTCGTTAATTGATATCTTCTTGTTCTTCCTTTCTTGAATCTTTCCCAAGGTATCGATAGGAATCCATTCCTTATGATGATGCCTCTTATGGCCCAGAACCTCCTTACACATTGAAGTTAGTGTTTCATTGGTCGCTTGCCAGTTGTTCTCTATGATAGTATCCTCTTCTTTGAGTAGGTTTTGTAAGACTTGGAATATGTTGCTGAGAGCAATCTTGAATCCTCTGATTTGGTTGGCATCTCTGAGGAAGGCTGTTTTCCCAGTTGTTCAGTGCTTCTTAGCTGCCATTAGATAAATGGTGATCTGGACCTATATCTGCTCATCTCTTTGTTTTTACGTCTTCCATTTAACTTCTGGACTTTTTATTGGTGCAGATGTGATTGATCTGGTTCTCTGTAGGGTACTCCGACGAATCGTATATAGCTTTGTGTACGTGTTTGTGGGAGGAGAAGTGTCACTTGTAACCATTTTGTTGAAGGCACGTTGATTTGCAAATCTATCACCATTTTCTTTACTTTCTCACAGTCCATGTTATTCAAGGATATTTTCATACCCGGTATTGTCCATTTCGACATTGGCGTTTAGGTCTTCTACCAGGACGCTCATATGCCTTCTTGAGCACTCCTCTACCATTAACTGTAGCCTCACAAAAATGATGTTTATCACCTTCATTGCTATCATTGATGGGTGCATAGCATTGGATGATATTCATTGTGATCCCTTCCTTCTTTGTTTTGAAGAATGCTTTCATGGTTCTAGATCTGTGAGATGCCTAACTGGTTAGGTGCTATTTAGGTTTCATTGTGGTAGAATTAAGAGTGAAAAACTCCCACGTAGACCTAAAAGTTCTTCTAACTTATGGGTTATATACTAAGTAATCTCCATAACAGTGGCTCACGTATTTAGATGTAGAAAGTATGCATCCGGTCAGTCCCTGAATACTGTACTTTTATTCTGAGTAGTGTTTGCATTAAGGATAATCTCAAGTTGGAATCTATCCAGCGACGCCATGCACTTCAGATTCTTGGGAGCAATTGCTTTTTGAATTACAGATCTAGATGCATTAAGCTAGGAATTGATTCTTTATAGAAGTGGCGAAAAACTAAATCTAATCTTTTACATCCTATGGTCTAATACAATATGAAGAATCACTGAGTTATAGCACTCGTAACTATCAAAATTCAAATTGTCTCATCTTAAATCTACTCTGTCAAAATGAGTTAATTTGTAGGTATAGTTCGGGACTATGAAATAATTTACCACAGTCTATCCGTAAAGCGAAATAACTAACGTCGTTTGTACGCTATATTGATTATTACCTTTGGTTTGAAGTCGCCTTAAAAATGTTTATACCAGTGGCCATATCTTACTCCACTAGTGAAATTATGCGGACATTAAACGTTTGATCATCACCATTACTAAGTACACTTATCAAGCTTCCTTTCTTGTTGATATTTTACCCATTACTGTCTAATTTGATCGATTTAAAGAAAATTTATTCAAATCAGTAGATCACAAAAGAACCAACGATAATGACGACAGATTTGTCATAGTAATTTTAGCTGTTTTTATTCCTTGTCATCTGTTCTCATTTCAAGATCATAATAATCAACTTTTTCAATGTGTTATCAACTTATGAATGTCTCATACAAATTACTTTTAAAATTTGTAATAAACCTTTCAGAGTTTGCATTCAAATACTCAGGCTCATAAATCACAAATTGAATGGTGTTAAACACATGATTAGTACATTTCAAAACAAGGAATAAATTTAAAGATTCAAACCTTATTATGAAATTATTCAAATCGTTCATTTTAAACACTGATTAATAGAGAACAGATTACATTTTATTACTTGTCATTGCAAAAAGAAAAAAAAAAGGAAAATAGTTTAACCAAAAGAATAAAAACAAACATGAACAACTAAAAGGATAGTAAAAGTTTATTGATTATTAATAATAGAATAATCACAAGAGTTCTAACAAGTTCATTGTTTAACTGGTTGACTGACTTAGTTCAATATTATACGTAGTTTATGTTTGTCTAAATACTTTTCTGTAACAGATAACTCATGTTAATGTATATGAAAAGACTTTGATTCATTAACGAGTTTTCATAGGACAACATAATTGGCAATTTCAAATCAAATGTTATCTTCATATTGATTAAATTTGGTGAGTTCAGTTGACAAAATTTATTTGATTCCTCCAAAACTGCACAAATCTATTCAAATGTACAACAGAAATAAGAGGAAAAAAAAAACGAGGGAAAATTATTCTTCATCCGAGCAATAGTTTGATCCACCTGGTATTTTGAACTGGTTTATGTTTCATTTATGGAAAGGGGTTAATTAACAACTTTTTTTTTTATAAACATATAGTATTTCCGTTATATTTCTGAAGAATGGCTGAAGTTTGATGGAGATGGAAAATTTGGTTCTAGTGGATTCATTAAATTTACTGATTGTTCTTGAGTTCTTGAGTTCTGTTGTGAAAAGAAAATAATGTTAGATTTATAATTTCAAAGAAGTGACTTTTTTTAGGAGTGAATTAAACAATAGTGTTTTTAAGGAACAGTCAATTAGTCATTTTCCCCCTTATTACTTAAATAATTTTTCAGTATCCACTATGGTGATAATTTCCCTTATAGACTTAGATCTCTGAAAGCTACCGTAAGATGATATCACTATAATTTATTGAAAGTGGGTATTTTTAATTCTATGACTACACAAAATAATGTTTTGATACTTATAGGGTTTTCTTTAAAAAGAAATCGAAAGTAATAACAGATAGGGGTAGAACTTCAACGACATAAAAATTGGGATGGATGAGAAAGAGTTGATATTCAACCCACAACAGGACTACATAAAAACACCATGTAAATGTTGTCTATCAAAAATACTACTGTTTCTTTATGGATTACTGATTGTTCACGACCTAGCTGTGGTTCTATAACTTTTTCTATTGGAAACCTGTTAAGCGTAACTGTAGACCTTTGGGAAAATATTCATTATTAAATGGTATGACTTTGGAGACCATATTGTCACAATCCATTCTTTAGATGATTATTATCCTGATCAGTTTATTTGGAATCCATGTCAGTGTATTATTAGCTTAGTGTGTTACTAGCGTGGAAATGTAAAGGAAGTTCATCTATACTGCAAACATTGCGCAATAGTTTGAACTGTCTTTATTAATGATGGTGTTAGTCACTATTCAGTTCGATTTAAAACAAACATAACGAAAGTTCTTATTTATGTTCTGATAAATAACAGTAGGGACTAAACCAGAACATTCTAAACATTCACCTATGAATTATTTTTGTCCATGAACAAGTCAAACGGAAGAAGATTCAGGCATCTACGGCTGTATGAATACATCACAGAGTTAAGTTTTAGTGTGGTGGCCATAGTGTATTTGGTCGAAACAAATTAAATAAACAATGAAAAATAGAGCATATGATCCTTTAAGTTTCAGTGTTCAACCTGTATCCATCTCCAAGGTCAAATACTGCTTGCAAACCAAATACTTATGTTCTTGAAGGATTTTAGATACTTTTGAGAAATAACCACTTAAATTTTCATTGTAAATAGTGTAGAATGTCTCTTAATATTTCATATGTTAAGTTTTCTTTCATAGCCATGATCATCTGTGTAAAGTTCGATAAAATTATACAGTAAAATAAACAGATATATGCATTTATTTGCTCATAATAGCATTCCTTATAATGCATATTGAGAGTTTAATGACCATGCTATCTATTGCACTCAAGTGTTAAGTAATCACCACAATTATTATTACTATCATCTGTTGACCAGAAATATTTAAATATTGTCCACTGTCTAGTAATTGAGATTGTTGACTATTGTGCAATCATTTCGACATTAACACTAGGTCACTGAAAGTTAGAAGAGAATAGTATACTACATATACCGTTAGAAGGTTTCCTAGGGACTAAGTAAAATAAACAGACATATCATTACATGAAAACAAAATTGTAAATCCAGCTTGTTTATAACTGTTACTGTATTTACAGCTGTTTTACATAATAGCACTATGCAAAGTAATCACAACTGAAAAAAAAAAACTATTATTTCAATTGTAAACTTGCAGTATGATAGATTGTTGACTTCTCATTACTCACTATATCGTCAGTCACCAGCATTTTCTGTTCAAAGTTTGAATGTAGTAAATTTGGAGCTTCAGATTTTTCATGGATTTCTTGATATTGAGAATTTATAAAGTCGATAACTGTATTTGAAAAATCAATCGGGATATTGGAATGTTTATCACTATTCTCACTATTATTATTATTATTACTATTCTCATTATCGTCTTCATTGATAGTCTGATTATGATTACGGTCTAACTCGATAAAGTTGGTTAATAATACAGTATTCATGGAATCATCGTTTGTTCTCGACGTGTTCGACCAGATTAATAACGAATTTATACAATTCTCTCCAGTTACTTTATTCAATAATGGTAACCGATTGATCATCATTGAAGTGTTTTCAATTTGGTCACCATATTGATTGTAATGAATATCGCTAACTGAACAGTTGGATTCGTGTATATTCATTCGGTGATGATGAGATAATGAGACAGGTGGAGGATGAGGAGGTGGAGGAAATTGGGGAGTACGTGTTGTAGAATACACTGGATGAACTTCATTTAATGAATGAGAATGAAATAACGAATCCAATGCATTCGATTTATTTTCATCTAGATTTTGTTTTTTAATGCTTTGCTCATCATAAAACAAATTCGGGAAAGCCATAAATCTAGGTGGAATAGAGTGGTGACTTTCAACATCTGTTCCTTGGTAAGGAATATGATGATGTCGGGTTTTATATGGAGATTGGTTAGAAAGCTATACGGAAGAAAAATTGATTTCAAATAGGTGACTATTAAACATCAGGATTGGTGTAAACATTATCTTATCTCACAGAACTTTTTTTACAGTAATGTACAGCTAACTCACCTAATAGGAGATAATCCATCATTGATCTTATAAATCTACCACTTAAGAAAATCTTATTATTGGTGAATTTCAATAAAAGCTAAAGTTACCTTGAAATTGCAACTAATGATATATGAAATTAATTTATAAATTAAAAAGTAAGGAAATAACTATGCTTTTATGTCATCATTAATCCATTAATTAGCCTCGTTTGAAGATGATATTTCATTGTAGCAGTCACAGATTGGTAGTTTCTCAATAATTCGAGTCAGGTATTGTCTAGAGACTAACACGATCTGTACCCATTACTTAATTGACTTAAATGAATAGAACATGAATTATATTGGGAAATCTATATTATCAATGAAATATTCTGCAGAAGTATTGGTTTGGATCACTTATCTCTTAAATCAAAACACTGATATTGATTCAATAAGAATAGCATCACTAAACTGTCAGTTTATGTACTTAAATTTATTATCAATATAAGACTTCGTGGGTTTCAATGTAGAACCACAATATAGTATTTATCTAACAGAGGGATTAAGATTGTAAACCAAACGACAAAGGAGATCAGAATGGTTACCGTTTCCCTAGTGGTACTACAGAAGGATCTCGTGTTATTTCTTGACTAAGTTGACATGGCTATGAAGACTCAAGTTTGTGAGCCAGGATATACAATTGCTTATGTGTTAAGTGATATATAATAACTTTTACTTCTGTGTTGGCGTCGTTTAGGCATTTTGATTTTATTGAAAAAGTCTATTCCATCGACGAAGAAAATCATACTCTACATAGGTTAAAAACGTCTATCATCCATGATCATAGTCAGATTCGTTATTAATGACTAATCAAGTTATAATATAAAATAAGACATAAGATATAACTTGCCAGTGAGTGACAACTAGAATAAAACCTAGGTCTAGGGTTTCTTCCTAAAAGAATTCAGCCACCTATCTGGTTTGTAATTACAACAGCTCTTGTTATATACAGTTCTGTATATAATATTGTACTGATGTCCATTATCAATGAAAAACTTGCCTGTTTAGAAGCATCCATACGCGTCACTAATTTGTTTATAGATTTTCCGGAACCTCGAGAGGAATTCGGTACATATAACTGATTAGATTTTAATGTGTTCATTTTTGGTTTTCTCTTTCGAGTTTGAATCCCCTCTTTCTTCATGGATATTGGACGGTTTATCTGAGATCGTAAAGAAGGAAAATATTCTGTAGAAATTATTAATCACAGACCAAAAGTATTCTTCTGAACAAATGACCACATTTAATGGGCTGAATAATAAATTCAAATATAAAATTTATGGTTAAAGGGATTTTCTATTTAAAATTTATTTAACACCATGTTTTAATGAAGTCGACTGTTTAGTTTGAAAAAACGCCTTACAGTTTTTATCTTCTTCCGTCTTCTTCAGGAAATATATATATTTACCATAATGGATTTCAAAGCTGAATTAATACTAGAAAACTTGAAATTCTTATGACTCATGTTACTCTAAAATAACAGACTGATTATCAATGGAACAAAATGTGCAGCTCATTTAAATGTTTCTGGTCGTTTTGTGTTGATTAAATTGAGTGGTCTATTCTAGACCACATCTTTAGTGATAAATTCAACATCACTAAGGTACAGAAATATTCATAATCCGATCAATTAACTCACTTGATATTGTTTTACTTGAATCTTCCGATTGATGTTTAGAACTGCAATTGATCAGTCTCTTATTGGCATATGTGCATACTGTGCGTATTGCCTCGATATTGCCTTAATTTACATCTTTGCTTATAATGCTGACGAGTCTTAAATAGGACGAAATGCGCGTCGTGGATTCCACTGTTAGCCACTATCCATCTTTGCTTATAATGCTTGTAAATTAATTCAATATCGAGGCAATACGCACAGTATGCACATATGCCAATAAGAGACTGATCAATTGCAGTCCTAAACATCAATGGGAAGATTCAAGTAAAACAATATCAAGTGAATTAAACTTCACCCCATTTCACAAGCAAGTTGCTATCAGGACTCAGTAGCTAAGTGGATAACGCGATGGCATTTGAAGCGGACGTTACTGGATTCGAGTCCCAGGGTGAGCGTCACCTCTGAGATCAGGTACATCCGGCTGACGAGTCCGAGGTAGGACGAAACGCGCGTCGTGGATTCCACTGTTAGCCACTATCCATCTTCGATTAATTAACTCTTTTGTTTTTATTAACTTGGAGTATTATAAAAGAATATTGGACCGTGTCTTAACTGTAGGCTTAACATTCTATCCAGGAGTAACTAAGTCGCATTTAGAGTATTTTCGGAGACAATGTGATAACAACGATAACATAGGATTGCAACACCTTTAATCACATTCAGTATGTTTAAATCTTTCTATGCATTTTATCACATCCTGTCAACCTAAATCATTTTCCGTGTGTTCTATCAGTGACTATGAAGAATCTTTCTTATTGATTAGGATTTATAGTTTGATATCAACTCATAGAAGAGGATTTTAACTAGCAACTGTTTACATTCTTTCAATCGATAAAATATTTTTCCAGTAGTCGACATTTGAACAAATGATTTGATAGAATTTTTCTACATATATTTTAACTACTATTTTAATATTCAGTAACTTGAAAATGCAATCAAAACCAGGTGGCGTATCCAAACAAAGTATACGGGTTAAATATGAATCATTAGAAAACTCTAAGTTACCTAACACACTTTTATTCATTAAAAGTAGAGGAATTCTTTCAAAAAATAACACTGTTGCTGAATCACCTGATTTTATTATGTTTCACTGTGTTAGCTGTGAAGTAATGCACTTACGCCTGTTACTCCCAATGGAGCATAGGCCGCCGACCAGCATTCTCCAACCCACTCTGTCCTGGGCTTTCTTTTCTAGTTCCATCCCATTCTTGTTCATTTTTCTCATATCTATCACCATTTCCCGGCGTAATGTATTCTTTGGTCTTCCTCTCCTCCTTCGACCTTGAGGATTCCATATGAGGGCTTGTCTTGTGACGCAGTTCGGTGCTTTCCTCAATGTGTGTCTTATCCACTTCCAGCGCTTCTTCCTCCACTGGAATCTGGTTTGTTCTCTCCCATAGTACGTTGTTGCTAATAGTGTCCGGCCAACGGATTCGAAGTATTTTGCGTAGACAACTGTTAATAAACACCTGTATCTTCTGGATGATGGATTTCGTGGTTTTCCAGGTTTCGGCCCCATACATTAGAACTGTCTTTACATTTGTATTGAAGATCCTGACCTTGGTGTTGGTTTACAGTTGTTTTGAATTCCAGACGTTCATCAGTTGTAAATATGCTGCTCTTGCTTTTCCGATCCGCGCCTTCACATCTGCATCAGATCCACCGTGTTCATCGATGATGCTGTACAGATATGTGAAGGTTTTTACATCTTCCAAATCTTCTCCATCAATTGTGATTGGATTGGTACATGCTGTGTGGTATCGAAGAATCTTGCTTTTCCGTTTGTGTATATTGAGACCTATTGCTGCTGAGGCTGCTGCTAAACTGGTCGTCTTCTCCTGCATTTGGTGTTGAGTTTGCGATAGAAGAGCCAGATCATCTGCGAAGTCTAGATCATTCAATTGCATCCTAGCTGTCCACTGTATCCCGTGCTTCCCTTCAGATGTTGATGTCTTCATGATCCAGTCGATCACCAGGAGAAAGAGAAAGGGTGAGAGTAAGCAACCTTGCCTGACACCGGTCTTTAATTCGAACGATTTTGTCAACTGTCCTCCATGAACGATTTTGCAATTTAATCCATCATACGAATTCCGTATGATATTGACTATCTTCTGAGGCACGCCGTAGTGTCGAAGAAGCTTCCATCGGGTTGTTCTGTCCACGCTATCAAATGCTTTTTCGTAGTCGATGAAGTTGATATAGAGTGATGAATTCCATTCAATTGATTGTTCCACAATGATCCGTAGAGTTGCGAAGAATTCATTCATCTAAAAATTTATTTCAGTTTTGTATTTTTGAAGAGAAATTTATGCCAGGTCTGTTTTGCTACCAGTAGAGATGAAATTTCATTGGCTTCCTTGTGATTTTTATACTCATTTTCGTCTAATCATTTATTATATGGTAATTGATTTGTCACTTTTGCTCAAGACTTTTAAAGAGAATGACTCTTTAGTTCCTTTATAATACGTTTGGTCATTTGAATGGTAGTTCTATCTTCGGTTATCTTTTCAGGTGAGATTTTGCAGTTGGTTCAGTCAACTAATTATTGGTTAGGCCATTTAAGTAGTTCCGATAATTTTATCAAATCGATTGAGTATTCATAATATGTTGATATTCTTTAGTTTGACTTGGTTGACTAGATAAAAAGTAATCATTCATGTGGCCGATAGACAAAGCCAGCTCCATCTTTCTTACCGGACGTAATTTACATTTTTAAAGTAGTACATGAGGTTTCTAATAAATGAGTGTACTAAGATCATACAAACATGATCTTACAAAATTTAGAGGACATCAATCTCGTTTCTTTTGAAGTTCTTCGATTTGTGAAAGTATAGTCGTTTCATCTCCCTTTTACTATTTGAAACATCCTAGGAAGTTTTCAGAAGTCAGATTTTTCAGCTAACTGATCGTTTCATGATTTTTAGATAAGATGTTCTCAACATGAATGCTTTGCTAGAGTTGTAAGCCAAGACAACTTTCCCGAATTCAGTACATGAGGAACTATTCGGACAATAAAATCAGATATCAGAAAATATTTTAAATAACACAGCTGATGATCAGGTTTGCCTTGAACTCTCCTTAAAGTCTAGATATACCAAAAACGAGCTATTTTCATCGAATTTTTATCTTCACAAACAGCCCCAAACATCTGATACATCTATTAAGGGTTGTCCTGAAGTTTCATCAAGAGACTAAATAGTTTAGTATGCATATTCATCGGACAGAATATATATTTTTCTAGCGGATAAATTCCTAGACATATTACATTAGGCATATCGAAAATATATGGCTCTGGCCCATCGAGTGTGGAGAAACCAACGCCCATATAATGATAAAGTAACACGCTTATTTTTGTTTTCAGGTGGGTTAAAGCAATTACGAACGTTTTTGTTATCTAACCTTGTGAAGTTTATAATATAATCCACATGCATTACAAACTGGCTCTCCTTCCGTATTACGACGCCATAGGGTCGTTGCAGAAGTATTACAATTGGTACAAAATTGTCCTGAACGACGTGTAGAGTTTGGAATATTTAACTGGTGATGATAAAAAAGAAACAAAGAAATGATAGATCATGTAAAGTATTAGTAAACAGTGGTTGTAACTGCCATAATAAATTAACGAAAAAATATCTCAGTATATTTTTCTTCAGTGGGAATTAACCAATAATAACTTGAGATGAAAGATGAGATATGGTAGACTTCAAAACTCATTCGAACAAATAAAGTTTTAGATTAAGCATTCTGGTGTTGACTAAAGAATGAAAATTGGTGTTGAATATACTTAAAACCATATCAAAAAGGATTAGTTATGAACATTTATTGAGTTATCTTTGAACTAATAATTACTGTATACCAAGCTATGTATTGAAGATAACTGATATGATCATACATTAAGTGTTAAATATCATAAAAAGTCATGCTGAACAGCAAGCACCTTTTTTTCAATAGATTCTCGTGTTTTCTGACTCTCTAGAGATTAACGTAACTGATTTTATTATCTGATTGTGTTCCACTCTAAGAGTGTGGATCCACTATTTGATAAATAATAAGAATAATTTTCTATGTTCTATAATTGATTCACCTTGAAGGTAAAAACTAGAGACTTTTACCACAATCATTTTAATTGTTGAAATATACTTATGCTCTCCAGTATGTTTTTTTCTGATACGCTACTTAACTATTAGTTAATTGCTAGAATGGGGAAAGTTCGTGATGTCTTCTGTGAACTATGCAAAGTAGTATAGTTATAATTTGCCGTAAACTAACAATTTAAATCATCTATTACTTCTACGTAGTATCAAAAGCTTAATAATACGTAATTACATGTGTCATGCTTTCATATCAAATAGTTCTGATGAAAGAGAATAAGATCTTTGACATAATTGAATGATTAACGTTGGATATGAATATTTATACTATTTCCTCGATGATGTAACACAGTTATTCAACAATAACGCTAAAAATCTAAAGAACAAATCCAAGGCTTACTGAGTTAGATGACTTTGAGATCTTTACTTCACTATGTATTGAATCGATTGGTTCCCTAGTAACAGCCACATCCTTCATCACGTTCGTTGTATATTGTGACCATGAAGAATAATTTGAAATCTCTTGAGGTGATTGTATTTGCAAGTGTTTGTCTGATGAAGAACATAAAAACATAATAAACAAACAAATCACAATTTTATATATAGGTCAGGTGTTAATTAAAAGTGTCCAATATTTAAATATGACCTTTTAGACCAATGAGAAACTCATAAATGTTCCCTTTAGTCTTTAACAAAAGATGTGAAGCGATCCTCCTAACAAAAATATGTAAATTAATCACCGACCGATGAGTTATACTTATTTATTGTCAAATTCTCTAGGAAGGAAATCACATCCTTTACAATCGCAACTACATTTTGTATGCTTGATATCAACCAGTTTAATACAAATTATGACCTGAATAAAGTGTTTGAGTATTTCTTTTTATCAATAATTCCTACAGTATTATTGTCAATGTTGTTTGGTTCACACACCTCTTCAGTGAACATATATATAACTATAGAGGACGTAATAAATAATGTAACGAAGATTTATACCACAAATACTAGGACATGATTTCAGAACGGATGATTAAGCTTTATACCATATTCATTAAGTGTATTCGAAAACTCAGGTTAAATTAATCGCTATTGGATAAAAATAAACATGATTAATACATGTATGAATATTAGAACAGTGAATAATTCTTGTCTTTCAGAAACTTTTACATTAATCTTGCTACTTATTTTATCGCAAATGACTAGTAGTGACTATTCATGAAACATTATCAACAGTAAGTAATTAGACTGTTACCAAGATTTGTACGAATACTGTGTGACTATATGAGTGCTCATCTGTACAGATATGTATTTCATATTGCAAAAACCTTAATATTAAATATTTATGCACATTAAACAAAATCAACAACATACCACCGAAAATTTGAAAATTACCAACAACTTACCGATCTCATTAAAATTGTTCGTAGGATTGAATATAAATGAAGAATCTTTAGAGTAAGATTTGACATCATTCCATATAAGAAAAGACAAACTCCCATTATCTTGATCTAAACCTGATAGATTTCTATTCCGTGTACCATAATTTAGTAATGGATCAAAGAATGGCTTAGCTTTATCAACTGATGCATTTATACTTGGTACATGTTTCATTTTTCTTGTTGACTTAATTCTATTATTGTCATTGTTGATTTGTTGATTACATTCATTGCATAAATAAAGTTCAGTAATTCTGTCGAAAATCCATTGTTGATTTTCAATATTAAATGTTCCACATTGTACACACTGAGGAGCTTGTAAACATATTTTTTTTTTTGAAAAAAAAATTTTTTTTTTGGTGGGAAACAATAACAGCAGTTGAAATTTGATTGTTAGTTGTTTTATCAAAGAAAACATATTTTAAGAGAAAGAATATCGATTGACACACCTTGATATGAAAAAATATTGGAATTTTTATTTGGATTTTTCAACGAAAAAAAAAAAGAAGTTCAATTACCGAACATTTAGTAAACTTCATTGTAGAACTGTAATCGTATTTTCCCATTTGACTAGCTATCTAGATTCATCAAATCGATATTCTCATAAACCTTTTTTCAATGATTTAGAACTTTCCTTAACAATACATATGTGAGTGTTTATCTCATTTCATTTGGTTGAAATAAAACGTTTTGTATTATTATTTAGAAAGAAGCTTCTCTCACATGTAAAACTAGTGTACGGTAATATTATGATAAATATTGTAAATAGAAACATGTTATAAAGAGAGTACAGTGATGCGTTAACACACAGATTCTCAATAATAACCAAAGTGGAATCTTACCATCCTTATTAACTGAGATTCATGAATTCTTTTTTCTAAAAAGGATTTCTAGTTCCAAAAAGTTCCCTATTTGCCAAAAATTAACATTTTCTTGGAGTAATGTCTTCAGTAATGCTGATAGTGAATAACTATGTTTATACTTAATGGTTACATGAAATGTTTTCGTTTCATTCTCAGTTAAAATTTAGACAAAGCTATATTTCCTTGTTAAATACCATCAAGATAAACACAATTTACAGTCATCCTCTTTGATTAGTATTATCTAAATAAGTACTGGGTCGTATTGGAATATTTTGATTTGATCAACCTCAGTATTGTTCAGTAAGCTCTCGTGATAAGAGCTTAACTGAATATTTGTTGAACTAGGAGTTATATTTCTAGGTCAACCAGTCCAATCCATTAACCATATTACAGATTGTCTTTGTTCGTTTGGATATTATTTAAAGGGATCTCTTTATTTCACTAATCATTCCGTTAATTTCAATAATCACGTTCAAAGTAGTCTAATCCTTGAAAAATTACAACACACAACGGTTATTGTAGTTAGATTATTTCCAAAGTATTATTTCTGTCACAAATATTAGATACAGTATGTGATCTTACGCTACATCTACCATAAAAGAACGTAAAAGATTGATAGTTTTGTAAATAATGCTTTCTAATATTAGTTTAATAAATTTTAACTTCGTAAATTTCAACAAGCAACCGTCTATGTTCGCACATAACAGACACACCCACATGGTATATATACAGATTTTATGTACTCATACGTTATGAAAATAAACATACAAGTATAGTGAGTAACTCAGGTTGTTGCAGCAATAGTAATAACAATTTAAAAACTTGTTTTTGTAAATCAAAAACAAAACATAAGCATGAATATGCTTGCTTTTTAGATCGAACTATTAAAAAAAAATATTTTCCTATAGAGAATACATCGTTCATCTGTCCACCTGACTGTTATTTCGGTTAAATGTTTTCCTTACGATTTCAGTGTCTACTTACCTAACTAACTTACCAATCAATGTACTCACTAGCTACCCTACCTCACTCTAATTTATTCATATAAGGGATAAAATACGGTGGTGGGGTAAGTAAACGACAAATAGAAAGACAAAGTGAGAGAACTCGCTGAAAAATACAGGAAAATATATATATATATATATATATATATATATATATATATATATATATATATATATATATATGCATCGACATAGTTGAGATTTGTGACCGCTGTCATTGTCGTGTTTGCTCGGCTTATCAGTACGAGTAAGTAAACAGAAAAATGAACTTCATGTATTTGGTGAAGTAGGCGGTGATGATTAGTGTGGTGGTGGTGGTGGTGGTGGTAAAATTGCTGTTGTTATGACCTAAGGTACAAATTTTGCTCTTATTTGATTATTAGTTATGATATGGTTTATTAACGAGGGTGGAGACGAATGAAGTATGAAAAAACTGAAGGAACATAATAATAGCGATAAATGAGCAATTATGGATTCTCTCATTCCGTACTCTTCTAATGTTAAATCTTACCACCCCACTTTGTAGTGAGTACATACTGACATATCCCTATATTTAGATACAAACACACAGCATAAATGAATACGTATAGAGGAAAACCGAGACTGTATAAAACTTCGTTTATAGTGGGACAACAACATATGCTAAATGTTTATTAAAGCAAGCAAATAATCGCTATTTCAGGACTAAATTCACTCGACAATATAAAAGCAGAATAGTAAAAAATGTCTTGTTAAATAAAGTCATTCCTACTAGTCAGAATACTAATGCTGACGAAGTCAATGACTATTTATGAGGCTACGTTTTATTATTTCACTAAAGACAACAAAGAAACTACTTATGGTTTATAAGTAGTAGATATCATGCAGAAGTTAATTTTTTTAATAAAAAGAACAAGTGGTAAGTTATTATATTTGCTACAAGTGGGGCCATACACAAACACGTACGCAATATGTATATGCATATTTCTAGAGTGTGAAATTTCAAATGGGTCTGTCAATTGTTCAGGCCATCAAATGATGTTCAGTGTAGATTTATGTTTGAATGTAACTTCGATTATTCAAAATAAGTTAGAACAGGTAACAGTGATAAATTTTTATTATAAATATTCTAAAAGCTACAAATTTATTCAGCTATAATCAGTTTATTAGAAGTGTACTGACTGAGATCTATTCTAGAAAGCTGTATAAATTCACACTAACTAATTCCAGTCAAATGAATCACAACAAACGGATATTCCGAAGTTGTTTGACAGTTTGAAAAGAGTAAATTCTTATATAGTATTTATGTTTTTTTTTCATGACAATATGGGTTTTCGAAAATACTATATTTTAGATTGTAGTTGGAAAGCGTCTACTCATATCATAGTGTCATAGAGACAGTAATTGAATTATGGGCAATGGTAAATATGAGGTGATACGTTACTATATATTAAAAGTAGATTATTTGTAGAATATTTTGTTGTCAAATTTTGAAGCTATCAAGAGATCTAATGGATCATTGCATGTAACTGTTGTAAATGATAGGAAGTAGTTTAACTTTAATGCAATAATTAGATATCAGCTTTTAGAGAATGTAACCAACTGTCTATGTAGGAACTCTCCATTTATGGTTGATTCCTCATTATTACACATTGGGATCAGCCATAGAGTTATTGAAAACAGGCAAACTCTAAACAACTGTTTTGTTTTAATGTAAAGTTTTTCATGAGGGTTTCATTACGAGAATGAGTATAAACACTAATTGCTAGTTACAAACATAGTAAGATCTTACAATACAATCATTCTTTGAAGGAAGGTTCAATGTTTTCTCATACATCGAAAAAATAAGTTTGTATTTACCAAATAACCTTGATGATCGCTACGAAAAGATCAATTTTATCTGAGTCAGATGAAGTTTATATAACTAATAATTTTACTGGAAACTTCCAATTCATGTCAATATTTCTTGTATAGTTGATACTATGAAAAAGTATTCGAAGTTGCAACCGAATCCAAATGACCAATGTCACCTTCGGAAAAACTGATATTACGGTCAAAACAAAGCTATAGTATGTATTTGAAATATTTGAAACTGAAGAGAATGCTAGATAGATCAAGTTGTTTGAGCTACATATGGAAACTGTGTTTAATTAGTATAGTCTATGAAACAGAATTTAATTTGTTGGACAGTTTATCACTTAATGTTTTCTTTCAAGGGCCAACTATTCATTGAAACTGTAATGTAAACTGGGTATTCTGATTGAAGTATTTCACCGTATGATATCAGTTAGATTAAGTGTTATTTTAAACTCATTTATCTAGAGAAAACAGATGTTAGAGAAAGCAACTGAGGAGCACACACCATTCAAAAACAAAGAAAAAAGCACTATATGAGAATAATTTGATTACACGAAATGGAAAGTATTACTTTAAAAACCAATTCTATTAAAATAAACATGCCTATACTAAGACTTTTTCAAACTTCCCAGACTATTTCATTACAAACTTTAATCTCCGCCAATGAACAATCAATTTTACAAACTATAATACATCATATACATATGCATGCAAGCACACTATTTCATAGTGGAATTCGCTGGACATTAGTTTAACAACTACTATATGAACGTGATGGAACCAGGTCGAAGAGGAAACGGTATAGATAGTACGGCTACTCATTAGTTTACATTTGCAGCTTCGCTAACCTGTTATTTTCTCCTATTGCCATCATATACGCTCTTCGTCTCAATCAAATGAATTTTATTCGATGGAATAGAAGTAGGAGATGAATAACCAGAAAGCAAACGAGAAAATGAGCCAAGGAGAAGACTAATTATTTCTACATCTTCCTTATCTAAATATTCTTTTGAGAAACTTCCCTTCTCAAGAAGAGTGCCTACACATATGGACACGAAAGTTACTGCTTCTGTATAAATTATTTGAGCGTATTTGTTTGCATCGTAGTTTTTTTGTGAGAATTTGTGTATGCTATTGCTAAGCTAGATTAATCACGTGACATTTATTTACTCATTCTCTTATTCTTTTCATGTTTCTTTTTCCTGTTTCAATCAGGGGTGGATGTGAGTGTGAATACCTTGAAACATTAATATAATCATTCTGATAAATAAACAATCTTTCTGTAAGTTACGTCTATGTGCATGCCTATAAAACGATAATCAAGTCTTAATTTTGATAAATAAAATACATAGCTACACGCTTCTAAGTATATGTACACAACAAACAAATATATCATTGAATAACAGGTATTCATATTAAAAAAGTAGCGAATAGGGGCGCTAGTAAAGTAATAACTGTCCTTTCGAAACTCTCCTAAATAATAGACCCCAAAATCTCAATAATTACAATCTGAAATATCTCTTATTAGACGTAGATGGTTGTGTCAATCCGTATAAGCGCTGATATTTATAAAATGATACAAGGGTACACTAACACATATTTTGTACTCTACTTGTTGTTTATGATCCACTCATCTTCTTTGTATTCTAGCTTGACTGTGATCGTTCAAATTCAGAATCAGCAGTATTTTTGTTGTTGAGTTATTCAATGTTCAGTTAGCTACATTATAATTACTATCATGCTCTTTCTTTAAAGATAATCATTAGGCGTCACTCAAGAATGCCAATGTAGCCAACATTCTGAATATCAACTCAAAATTTCAAATAGTTGAAGGTGATCGGCAAAAGTCGAAGGTGTATGATTTGTGATTGTTTTCAGTTATAAAAATTGAATTCACCTCGGTCAACGGATGCAAAGTCACTTATGTAAATTTCTAAGGATTCGTGTTGGACAAAGATTAGCTGGTGATTTGGATTAGTTAAGTGAATGTTCTTTCCTTAATGTGACAATGATCATGAAATCAGATGACCATAGAAGTTGCTCATTGTATTTTTCTACAGTGATGTTCTAACTTTCTGTAGACAGTATTTTAGATTTTCAGGGGTCTCCTGACAAATTTCATCATGCTTTGAACAAAGCGTTTAACAACTTTTGAATCTAATTATTCTCAAAGTCGAATAAACGGGCTGGCAGAACGAATGCCAAACATAATACATGTGAACCACTCATTATATGATGATATAGACGTTGGTAGATATGTAAATTCATATTATACTGTAGAAAATATATAAATCCACACAAAGCAGTTAGTACTCATCATCAATATAATGAAGCGAGAAAATTGTAAACCGTTTATTTACTTTCAAAAGTAGAATAATTCATGTCACTATGTAACAAAAACCTTAATATAGTGTGATTGTTGATTACTTTGCCGAACTAAAAGTCTATTTCCTACCTTTCCAATAGTAGAAACTATTAGAATAGGAGTGAACTTACAACTAAACTTCCAGGATTTATTTACGTATATGATTTAATGTTGTTCAAAATTAATTCATCTACTTTTCAACCTAATAATTTAGGATTTAATTCAGAGATAAATGAACGAAGCACAATGACGAATAGTTTAATGTTATGTATCTTCATTAAATATGGACTTACGGTAACATGAACAGTTATTAGAAACTAATTAGTAAATTAGCTCGAAAAGTGCTTTAAATTCAATGGAATAAATATCGATCTAAACTAAACGATTTTGAGTTAAACAATGAAGGGATCCTGTCATATGATATTAAACAAGTAAATTTAATATTGTATTTTCTTAAGATTGATCGAGTTTATTCTCAAAAATACTGAGCACTAGAGGAGCTCGAGACTGAAGGTTGTGGGTTCTATTCCCGCGTGGAGGAGCCTCATACTAGAACGAAACGGCCGTCCAATACTTCCAGGTTTTCAATGGTGATCTAACATTGGTAGGCTCATGATCTCACATAGTACTACTTTGTTTTTGGTATTAAACATTGTTAAAGTTCCCAGAATTGTAGATAGTAACCCTTTAAATTTCCATTTAGTAAGGAGCTGATTTTAATTTCAAAACATCTCAAAACTAAGCAACAATATAAAGAATGCTAGAAGGAGTACACTGAGCCAAAATCATATAAACGGTGATCAAAAAAGTATGCATTTATGTGACTATGGCCAATTTCAAGTATATATATGCCATAAAATAACACTAACTGACTACTGCTTATCATGGTGATATATTTTATTGTATTTAAACATTGATAAACGGCTTTTCAACACCGATATACATCAATATAATGAAGAACATTGGGTAAATATTGATTTTAAAAATTAGGCAATTAACCAACATTTAATATAACTGAATACTCAACCCATCCTTGCTGAGTTTTAAACTGCTTTGGTAGATATTGGATTCTCTGAGCTGGATGATTAACCCGTATAGCATTCATTGCCTTTTTGGACATCATCAGCACATATTTTGGAAAGTGTACTTTTGAGAGATATAAAGGATGGATAAATGCTCTCGAATATACTGACCTCCAATCTCTTCTTTGGTATAGTCATTATCCTTTTTTAGATAAATACAAAATAGTGAACGAAGTCAATATTTTGACACTGTTTACTAATTTACTTTGAATTAAGGCAACTGGTATTACTTAAATGAGAAAAGAAACCTTTAAATCATTAAACTCAAGACCAGTGATAAATTTTGATCTCGTTTTAATGCAAAGTATGATAGGGCTTACGTATCTTGGTTTTGCCCATGAAACATAACTCTAAAGAAAATATAGTATGAACTGTCAGAAAGAAACGAAAAAAGTGTAATATTTTAGGTTCTACGACAGTTGTTTGTATTATTATTAATTCATTTACCATGTACAGAACTGTATACTTGGTTTGGGGCCAAACTATAAGTCTTAGGGCTCATGACACTACCCAACTACCTTACCAAAAGTAGATAGAACGGAGTTCAAACCTGAGAATTAGCACCTGAAAGTCGAAATTCTTAACACCTAAACTATTGATTTATAAAGATTTAATGGATATATGGTCCGAACTCACGCTCCTTCAGACTGGTACCTAAAACTAGAGCCTTATATTGCTCGGTCACTTCATCGATGAATAATGTTTGGATAATATTCATCTCCAAGAATCAACGTCCTTTTTATCAAACAAAAAGTAAATTGTTTTTATTGATTTATATATAGTAGAGAGAATACTCTTACAATATTATGAAAATATCTATTATAAGAAATTTCAAAAAATACCAAGATTTGTTTCTAGTCATAGAAATTTTTAAAAAATCATGAAATTCCTTGAATATTGTTTTTCAAACCCACTTAACAGTTATAAGAACGTTTTATCTGTGAGTTCAGTAAAACTCATACTATCACATGACTTCAAATACATGTCGTTTAATGTAATTCGATAATTTTCTTTATATTTTATTGTTATTCTACGTTTTCCAGGAACATTTAGTCCAACTTTTTCTAAATACATTGACTCAAGGGAATTCATATATGATTGACTTTTTAGTGATTATTCTCTTATCTCAAATTCCTCCAGTAGAGTCTCGTTGTATCGTTAGATAAAAACGCTGACAAAATGCAAGATATTCTAAGTGTATCAAATGATAATTAGATGCCATTAAACAACCTTTTCATTCCTAGAAAACGTAGTTTCATACGTTACGATCGGTCTTCGCTAACGCCGAGTCTATGAACAAGAAATGGAATTATTGAGTATGTTTGGTACCTTATTTAAAAAGTTTTATTACCCCAGTTGAGTTGGTGAAAACAAATTTTAGATATCGACACCAAAAAATCATCTAGCAACTGTCCTCGGAATTTTTTAACTTCTCAAGATGTTATGAACTAGTGACTTGAAAAAATTTACTTTTTACCCTCTCCTAAGTTTGGACATCTCATCACATACCTATCCATATTCCTCTTCTACCCATATCTTGTTCATCTGTTTTACTGTTTTCTTCCTTTGATGATTTTCTTTTCTGTGCCATACCAAAATATGATCAATTGAGCCAGAGCATTTTTATGAAAGTCCCTAAGTTGTTGTACCAACCTATTTTTCTGATACGCTATATCTAATGATTCTAGCCAAATAGTAGTCAACTTTATTATAAGTTGCAAATACTTTTCACCTAATTCATAAAACTCATTAATGAAATACAGCTTTATGTGCTAGATTTCAGACCTCAAATTTTATGTAACGATTATTGATGATACCCAGACCTAATTAAACGAAATGGGATTTAAACCTGTGACCTATTGGTTAAACTTTGATTTCTCTAACCACCAAGTCACTACCTTACTATCAGTTCACCGTTACGTATATTCATAATGATAGACTTAATGCTATAGTTTATACACAAAATACATTTAATAGTCTTTATACAAATTCCTCACTATAACCAGGACTTTAGATAGTATTCTTGAAAAAGCAAATGAAGTGAATATCTTTTGTAAGGTATTTATAATCCTGGTTCAATTCACTATGATTTTTTATTCATATATTTGATATTACTAATCATATTTACTATTTTGAGATTTTAACACTTAATTTGGTTAGTTTCTAAAGTAGACTTTCATTGGACATTTAATGAGTTTTAATATAGTTGGTTTCAATGAGCCGAGAAACTATAGATATTTATTTCTGAATGGTTCTATATATATATATATATATATATATATATATATATATATATATATATATATATATATATATATATATATATATATATATACAGGAAAATATTCAATATTCTCTGTTTTCCACTAAACCATATTCACCTACAAATGAAGAAATAAGGATATAATTCAACCACTCAACAAAGTATTTAGGTAATCTAATTAATGGTTAGTAAACGTCTAACTCAAACCAAAGGAAAGGAATACCCAACAGGAAAAGTTACCATTTTAATAGTAAATATGCTTGATAAACAACATAACTTACTTTCATGAAGCACAGGTTGTTTGTCTATGGTTGCTTGAGAGGTATATTTCATGTCAAGCTTATTGGTTACTGAGTGAGATTCACTTTCAAAGAGGTCGTCTGTCAGTTGCTGTTGACGTTGGTTTTGGTGGTTCTGTTGTGCATTAATCATCATCAAATGTTTAGGCATCCATTTGACGGTTTCTGTTGGTGTTGGCAAGTGAATAAATAACTTTTTTTGTCGATACTGCTGTTCCTGGCGACGTGGACAGGGCGTATCAGCTAAATTATATTGATGTTTATCACTGCATTCTATCGAATTAATTTGTGATGGTACGTATGAAGCAATATCAGTCTGAGGAAAACATTGATGTGACTGCTGTTGCTGCTGATGCTCAGACGATGATGATGATGATGAAGAAGAACACGATGATGAATAGTTAGTTGAAGTTGAATGCTGCATTTCATGTTGTATCATGCAAGGATTAGTGGTAACCTGAGCATGATTTACAAAGTTTATGTCAGGTTTTTCCACCTGTGATGATTCATAGTTATGAGTCAGTGAAACAGAAGGGGAGGATGGAAAGGTTATTGGTAAAGACAATGAAGAATTGTATATATTTGAAGGATAATTACAAATAGAGGATTTTATAACCTCTTGCATTGTGTGACCGACATCAAACGGTTCTTCAAATCCTTCTGTGTTATTTGGGTTGGTGCAATTATTAAACATCCACAAGGAATTTTTATTCGGATAAGTTGATTTGCTATCCATATAATCATCGGACCTTTCGTTAACATTATTATCATCATTCTTAGTTTGATTATTTTTTTCCATATTTTCAGTGATACAATTCTCATTGAGATATTTTGAAGTATTATCTAGCATTAAAGAATCTAATCTTGTAGCATGATTGTTAAATGTATGTAGTGTATTAACGGTTGATAATGAAGGTAGCGGTGAGTACAAAGATGGTAATATTTCAACTGATGAATTTCTGACGAACTGATTACAGTTCGACAAAAGTTTAAGAAGATTCGGATTAGACTGATTCATGTGATATGCATTATCATTGTGAATGATATGATAATAACTCGTAATATTATTATTTTCTTCAGTGCCTTTATTATTAATTATCTCCATATCACCACATCTGCTATCACCTTCATTTAATATAGTCAGATGATTTTTAGACAATTCAATAGAATTTCCCATATTAAGTTTAGACGTAGAGAACTCATCACATTTCAGAATGGTTAGAGAAGAATTAACCGGAGATGAGTCTTTAGGTCGAAGAGAATTATTATTTATAAAATTATATTGCTCATTATTCAAAACACTGGAAAATGGATCTTTGGATTTTGATAAAGATGTAAACTGAGAAAATAGGTTGGAATTATTATCAGAAAAATTATTTGTTGACAAATTAAGATTATAGTTTATAACTGAAGTATCACAGTCTGCACAAAAATTCATACATCGTGGTGAAAATATGCAAGGAGAATTTTGTTTGCAACAACTACATGGATAAGGAATTTTCATATCCTGATTTGAATCACTTGAAAAGTATAATCTATTTTGTAATTCTGAATGATAATAATTCTTGGAATTAACAGTATTTGAATCAACCATATTATATGGTAGATCCCCTTTTAAGTGTTATAGATCTTATAAGATTCTAAATGATTTCATTCAAATTATATTATAATGAAGATGATTATGTCGAATAATTCAATGTACTTATTATTTCTTTTATCTCAAAATAGTTAAACTTTTAACACAAATATCTTTGTGTTTATTTTAAACTTTTTACTTTCTCTTGATCAGATTAATTAGATTCATGTTAACAAGTAGTTCACAGTAAACTATTCAAATTAAACCTAAAAAATAAAAGATAAATAAAACAAAAGATATTTAAGTTAAGTAGATTATGAGAAATTATTTATTCTAGACTCGTTAGAAAAAAGGCGAAAGGGGCTTGATATGAACTACTACACTTGATAGTTATGCATGCTTTATCTACTGGATGTTGCCTATAAATCACTTGTATACAAGATAATAATCTATATTTTAGACTGATAATAGGAATAATTATGATAGTTTAAATCATTAATAATCATAATGATATTAATAATAATAATAATTTTATAATAAATTATAAACGGTTCTTTGGTTACTTCTTATTTGGTTGAATGTATATTACAGATCCTCCTGATGACGACCTGAAGGTGATGAAGGTAATTATTCTATACAATTGGTTGTTTCTAACTCAGTTAATTCAATAATCGATTTCATAAATAAAAAAAATCTTTATCGGTTTAAGAGTCAAATTTCGACTACAACTTATAGTGCATATTGAAGGTAAAGATATTAAAACTTCTGGTCTCATATTCTTGACTAATAATTATCATCAGAAGGGGTTTTGTGGAGATTGTAGTAATTTCAATGATTAAGATCATGAGTCAGTTGAAGCTAGATCACCATGGAAAACCTGGAAGCACTGGACAGCCGTTTCGTCCTATTATGGGACTCCTCAGCAATGCGCATCCACGACCTCGCCCCCTGCGAGTTTCGAACCCAGGACCTACTGGCTTCGCGCGCGAGCACTTAACCACTAGACCACTGAGATGGCCGGCATCCAACGGTGTTAATGTCTAACTTCAACTAATACACGAAATTGAGCGACACATCCACCATTGTCTTCAGTGAGCTGATATCTCACAACAGACCTGGTTGAATTCCACTGGTCACTACTTCTCACTAGAACTCCAGGATATACCTCTTGAAGCCAGTCACTAGTGAGCATATGTTGATTATTATCAGAAGGGGTTTTGTGGACATTTTCCATGGTGGTCTAGCTTCAACTGACTCATGATCTTAATCATTGTAATAATTATCAATTAATGGCTTAAACGATTGGTGAATAAGGTTTATCAAGGAATATTTTGATTTTTAGCCTCAATATTAATGGTCACTCATTGAAAAGAATTAATCTTCTATCCTATGTTGTACTCATTCTTTCTAAATCAATTATTTCTTTTCTTTTTTATGAAATGAATTTGTGAAATAATCCAAATTTTAAAAAAAAGAAAAAAAGAAAAACTAGACAACGTTGACTGTATTGTACTTTTTCTTATAACCTTAATTTATACACAATCTTTAAATGTCTCAATAAATGTAGTCAAAATATTAAGTTTCAAATAGGTCAAAGGTACTAAAAATCATAAATGACATCATTCGTCAATTGATCCATTCTTGTATTACGTAACAGAAGTAATTCTTTATTTCAAAAAAAAAAAAAAATTAGAATAATAATAATGAACCAAATGTACACTGACTATTCTATTAATTACCCACGATATAAACAAGTTATAATGAGGATTTTGTTCTGATCTGAAATATTTGAATACTACCACGTCAAATAACAAACATAGTCATTAGGATTTATGGTTAAATTTAAATGAGTAACAACTATGTACTTAAGTAGATTTTAGCCGTGTGAAAAGTAATAAAATGCTCATTTTCATAAGGGTCAGTAGTTTTCGATATAATAGTAACAGTTGTATTCTTAAAGGATATCGCGGAATAAAAATATTGATTTCCGATAAGAAGTCCTGAACTTTTGAAATAATTACTACTCAGTAATAACATTACTAGTCATCAACGATAGCATTGTACATTAGGGTGTAGATAATATGATTGTCATAATACTTTATAAGATAGTTAGTAGTCGAAGAAATGAAGTAACCACAGTTACTGTTACATAAATAACATGACATTTAACTACAAAAAACTCACTGAATCATTGGATTTTCAAAACCGTTCAACGGAAATGTCATTAATCCTAGATATTATATATATATATATATATATATATATATATATATATATATATCGACTGAGTTCAAGTCTTTCGTTATTCATAAATATATTTCCACCAATATTTTACCAGCAGATATTTTGCTCCTGAGGTACATTGTTTCTGTATCAGGAAAGTATTGATTTTCTGAATATTTCTAATGTCAACATCCTCAAACTGTAACTACAGAACTCTATTTAAAAATATTACCACATGAGAAAACATCAAGTTTCTATAGCATCAGTGAATCTTTTAAAGTTCCACATTATTCTATTCAAATACAATTGAAGGATATGAAGAAAAAAAAAAGTTCGATAACGAAAATATAGAAATAGTTATAGATCATGATCAAAACTAAATGTGTTTCTTTTCTAAAATCCAATATGAATACAATACGATACTGTTAACTCTAAAGAATTACTCTCGAAAAATGTATCGTTCATAGTCATTGTTTAAAAATGATTTGATCAAATAAAACACTATGTTTATTCACTAATTGATTAAAAAAATAAAAAGGACCCATAATATTTAATTATTTCTCATCTGAATTTTGTAAAAATGTTCTTTATTCAAATGAGATATGCAATAAAAAGCCTAATTCTATGAATACTACTGATTATTAAATCACTTTATCCTTGTATTCATTTGATGTACATGTAATTTAATCACTTCTTATTAACATTTACACTTACAATAATAAATGGAATTGATGAGGAAAAAAAAGTTAACCATTTTAACTTCATAGTTTATTAATTAAATTCATATTAAACAGGATAAACACTTACATGTAAAGAGATTTTCATTGAAACTTTTTCTATTAGCTTAGTCAAAGATTTTGTTATTCTATACAGATGATTATAAGAAATACACAAGTTGATTTTCTATAAAAAAAATAATCCACAAAAATTGTTTGATTAAATTCTTAACTAACCCTTTTATTATTTATTTTTTATTATAATGTATCTTATCAACTGATTTCTATGCAAAAATTTATGGGCATATAATCTATTACAAAAATTGGCCAATCAGATTTGAAAATTATTAAACATTTAAAGGTAGACATTTTCTATTTAATAATTCATGTATCCAATATGGTGTATTTATGAAAATTGACACGCTATTAATTCATAAAATGAATACTTGTCGAATTTACGATTGGTTATTTTTGTTAGCCCTATTGGTAAATTTCTTTTAAATATTATAATAATATGTATTGGAATTATACAATTTTCATTATCTATGTTCTTTTAGACTATTAATATTGTAGATGAATTATTTCTCTCCCCTATGCTAAAGAAATATTTGTATTCAGTAAGGGTTTTGTTAATAAGTTACACATTAACTATGACGATAGATATTCAAAATAAAGAATTAATAGATTCTGTAATAGTTTCTATCCTGAACTGTTTTATTGATTTAATATTCAGTAGGTTTGAAACTGTAAAATACTGGGATGAATTTTAATTGAATTCATAATAAGTGCACTGTAACAACTTTCAGGGATTAGTTAACAAATATAGTAGATGTCAGTTGAGTAAATTGATTATAGTTTATAGTTTAAAAAACCTTATCGTTTAGTGCCTTTAAACTATCAGGTTTTATTTTAACGGATAAAGGTTATGTGAGCTGTGTTGATATATGATTGACTGGATAAATTCATACAAATAATGTGATTAAGTAATTACTGCTCATTAAGATCAAATTTTTAACAGAAAGCCTCCAATGAGAGGATATTAAAAAAAATATAGAAATGGTTATCAAGGAGGATCCTTTATTTCTAACAGAATTTATACATAGAATATTTAATTGAGAAATATGCACAATTAGGATTGGTCAAAATATATTAATGATTATAGTACAAACATTTTATGTATCATTCACCAGTTTGATTATCACGGTTAATTCTTACAAGTTATATCATTTTTCTTTTCTTGTTATATACCCTTCTATAAATTACTGAAGCTTGATACTCATTAATGAGTCTGACTTTATTATAACTTCAGGGTGTATACCTAAAGTAATAACATGAATTTTGCAAAAAAAAAACTGACTAAGAAACAAAACTGGACGCCTCAATATTGTATATCTAATAGGTCGTACTTCATTATATCACTGTAGGTTTTATCAGGCCATTGTTACTGAGTATAAAAGCATGAGATATGATTTCATAAGATTGATGCATCTAATTCTCTTAAGATCCATGACACTGAAGAGAAATTTGTAATGTGAAATTAACTGGGTACATATTGGTGTAGAAGACAACAATGATCTTTCAATAACTGGACTAAATATCCAGCTTTGTGAAGACAAAAATGATCACAAATGCCTTATGACATTCCTAAGATTGAATCATATTCAGTATATTGCAGAATTTCTAAAGAATTGAGTGTTTATTATGCATATAGATAAATGGTTATTTTGTATAAATTCTAAAAACACTCCTACTATGAATCTTAATAACCAACTTTTCTAAAGTGAACAAAAATAAAATTAGAATAAAGATTTCACAAAATGTAGCTCTCATGTCTAATGGTAACAAACAAACAAAATTGGCCGATTAAATGGTAGAACTAAATTCGTAGTTATCAGAATAGGGTTGTGGAGATTGGTGAGTTTTTAATTAAAATCATGAACCGATCAATACCAGGCCACTATTGAAAACCTGAAAGCACTGGAAGGCTGTTTCGCCCTAGTACGAGACTCCTCAGCAATACTCATCCACAATTCCACACGCCGCACTCGAATCCACGACCTTCGTCGGAACATGTGGTTT